AAAATCAATGCCCCCCTGGGGCGGGGCCAATTTTGACCCCAGGGCTTTTATTTGAACAAACTTGGTAGACACTCATTAGAAGATGTTTCATGCTAAATATCTTAGCTCTAGCTCTTTGGGTTCTTTAAAAGAAGATTTTTTAAGTTTTTACTATATGCATATAGGGAAAATCAATGACCCTCTGGGGCGGGACCAATTTTGACCCCAGGGCTTTTAGTTGAACAAACTTGGTAGAGATTCACTAGAAGATGTTTCATGCCAAATATCTAAGCTCTAGCTTTTACAGTTCTTTAAAAGAAGATTTTTTAAGTTTTTACTATATGCATATAGGGAAAATCAATGACCCCCCGGGGCGGGGCCAATTTTGACCCCAGGGCTTTTATTTGAACAAACTTGGTAGACACTCACTAGAAGATATTTCATGTCAAATATCTTAGCTCTAGCTCTTTGGGTTCTTTAAAAGAAGATTTTTTAAGTTTTTACTATATGCATATAGGGAAAATCTATGACCCCCTGGGGCAGGGCCAATTTTGACCTCAGGGCTTTTATTTAAACAAACTTGGTAGACACTCATTAGAAGATGTTTCATGCTAAATATCTTAGCTCTAGCTTTTTGGGTTCTTTAAAAGAAGATTTTTTAAGTTTTTACTGTATGCATATAGGGAAAATCAATGACCCCCTGGGGCGGGGCCAATTTTGACCCCAGGGCTTTTATTTGAACAGACTTGGTAGACATTCACTAGAAGATGTTTCATGCCAAATATCTAAGCTCTAGCTTTTACAGTTCTTTAAAAGAAGATTTTTTAAGTTTTTACTATATGCATATAGGGAAAATCAATGACCCCCCGGGCCGGGGCCAATTTTGACCCCAGGGCTTTTATTTGAACAAACTTGGTAGACACTCACTAGAAGATGTTTCATGCCAAATATCTTAGCTCTAGCTCTTTGGGTTCTTTAAAAGAAGATTTTTTAAGTTTTTACTATATGCATATAGGGAAAATCAATGACCCCCTGGGGTGGGGCCAATTTTGACCCTAGGGCTTTTATTTGAACAAACTTGGTAGACACTCATTAGAAGATGTTTCATGCCAAATATCTAAGCTCTAGCTCTTACGGTTCTTTAAAAGAAGATATTTAAAGATTTTTCTTTCGGTTGCCATGGCAACCAGAGTTCTGCATGAAATGGAATTCTTTGAACAATCTTGATAGAGCTTCATACAAAGAGTATTCCTGCCAAGTTTCATTAACATTGGCCTTGCGGTATCATAGAAGATGTCCTTAGAATATTTAAAATGTGGACGGACGACAGACGACGGACGCCATTTGGTTGGCCATCCTAAAAGCTCACCTGCACTTTGTGCAAGGTGAGCTAAAAAGCTGCTTATGTATACAGCTGACGTGAACAAATTTTGTTGAAAAAACAAATGTGTCCGACCGAGGCCGAGCTGTTTATGTTAACTGAATTCAAATCACTTGAACTGAACTGCTATGAATTCGGAAACCACCATGGACTTTTTATTCTTTCGTGTGGAAAACCTATCAAGCTAGTTTCAAAATGTCGATGGTTCTCTGCAGGTGCAAAATTTTGCCTGAAATAATGCGCAAAGGCGCACCTGAGGTATTGCCCCTAGTAAAGCTAATGTGTAGAGTGAAAGTTTGAAAAGAAACCACAAAAAAGCAGTCATTACCCAGAACATGCAGAACCACAGTTAACTTAGAGCGTAGCTAGCCAAAATGAATTCAAGTTAATAGATTTCTACATTTTTTTTTGCGAAAAAAATTAGGGATAATATTGAACATACAGGAAAATATAAGAAATTATTTCAGATATTATGATCAATAAGGTAACATGTTCATGTTTAACTGAAAAGTAGCTTCCGCAATGTAAACTTTCAAATTAAATGTTATATTGGACATGACACATTGAATTCTAAATAATCAAAAGCAACATAACATTGCTACACACCGCAAAATATCTGGGTTTTTTACCTAGCGCAAGTGATTATTCCTTAAAATAGAAATATATTGCCAAAATTATCCATGTTGAAAAGACTGCCAAAAATACAACTGCATCGTATCATATTTTATTTTCAACTGCGTCGTATCATTTTGTAAAAATCATTATTTTCTTAAAAAATAAACATCTCTTTTTAATGAAAATTTAGTAAATGATGCAAAATTATATTTCGAAGTTTATGGTGAACTCTGAAACAAATATATAATTGATTTGAAGGAAAAAACGATAGATAAAGCAATATGAACTGCGTCGTATCCACACATTTTCATAAAAATTCTGCCCCGCTTCGAGTTGCAAGTTCGCTATAACTTTTGCTTTACAAAATAGTTGTGCAAGCAACATATACCGAACGAAGCGGAAAATAGTGTAGTGTGTTAATACATATATCTTGTTTTCAGTCATTTCCAACAAAAAGAGTTATAAACAAAAACATACATTTTTCGCTCCAAGATGGCGGCGTTTGTTTACATTTTGTAGGATACGACGCAGTTTTGATTCCCAGCCCTGATATTTATGACTTAGTTTTCATATTGTAAAGTCTTCAATGTATTTTTGATAAGTTAAACCAAAGTTATTCTTCAATATATATTTGTGTGAAATCAATGTTGATGTTCCTAATGATAAATTTAATGTTTAAAATTTATTTTCTCCCATAACATAACTATATCTTTAAACTAATTTATTTTATGCTTTAACTTCAGTGAATAAAAAAAGTTACTGTCATTTGACAATTAGATCAATTCATTCTTTTTGACTGCTTTAGTAACTAATTGACATGATAAATTAATCTTTATGTGTGTTTTAAAGTAGTCTTGTATCTTAGGGTAATTAGACAGAATGGCTCATCAAGTTCATGAACAGACGTCATTGTGGCTAATGGGAAGACTGGCAATGACAAACACTGTACTATTGTAAACAGCACTGACCAGGCTTGAACCCCGGACCGCTCAATTACAGTTGTACAAGGCGGACACTCAACAAATGTCGCTAAAGGTTCATAACCAAGCAATCTAATGGATTAGACTCCGATGTCTATCAATGTTAATATTTATATAGTTAAACAGTAATAATACTTCAAATATGGAATGAGTCTATTTAGTATTATATATATTCCTGGTTTGGACCCCATTTTTGATGATACTCAATGATAACAGCTGGGTATTCTGATAACAGACCAATCACAACTTTTCGGCTGACGAATAATCGCAGAGGTGTTCCGGTTGACAACAGATTACAGAAATGGTGCATGAAATACCGAATAACACTTTTAATTTAAAATGAAAAATATAAAATAAACAAGAGGGCCATGATGGCCCTGAAATTGCTCACCTGTACATAGGCCCCCGGGGCCAATTTTAACCCAGGGGATTTTATTTGAACAAACTTGGTAGACACCCATTTGAAGATGTTTCGTGATACGATATCTAAGCTCTAGCTCAAAGAAGATTTTTTAAGTTTTCACAATATACATGATAATCAATGATCCCCATGGCGGGGCCAATTTTAACCCCAGGGCCCTTATTTGAACAAAAATGGTAGACACCCATTAGAAGATGATTCATGCTAAATATCTTAGCTCTAGCTCTTACGTTTTTTTAAAAGAAGATTTTTTAAGTTTTTACAATTTACATAAAAGGAAAAACAATGACCCCCTGGGGCAGGGCCAATTTTGACCCCAGGGCTTTAATTTGAACAAACTTGGTAGACACCCACTAAAAGATATTTCAAGCTTAATATCTAAGCACTAGCTATTTGGGTTTTTTTAAAGAAGTTTTTTTAAGTTTTTACTATATACAAATAAGGAAAATCAATGACCCACCCCCACTCTGGGGTGGGGCCAATTTTGACCCCTGGGCATTTATTTGAACAATCTTGGTAGACACTGACTAGATGATGTTTCATGCCAAATATTTAAGCTCTAGCTCTTCCAGTTTTCTAAAAGAAGATATTTTAAGTTTTTTCTTTTGGTTGCCATGGCAACCAGATTTTTGCTTGGAATTAAATTCTTTGAATAATTTTTAAAGTTGAGTACCAAAGGAACATTCCTGTGAAGTTTGGTTGAAATTGGCTAAGCATTTTATGAGGAGATGTCGTTTAAAGTAAAAGTTTATGGAAGGACACTTGACGAAAAGCGATCACAAAAGCTCACCATGTCAATTTATGACTCACCTAATGAACGCGATTTGTTTTATCTGACTTCCCCATTTATAGGCTTTGCCTACTTTCATCAGGACTGCTTTCATACTTAGCCTATATGAACGAGGAAGTCAGTTAAAAAAAATCATTCATTTTACACTTTTAAAGTTTCAATACAAATATTATGCACCACGTCCAATTGGAAAACCTCTACCATTATTATTGAGCCAAAATGTTGCGATTGTTCTGTTATTGGAATACCCCGACTATTAGTATTATCAACGAGTTAGACTGAAACGAGAAATGACACTGAGAATTTCACTGATAGAAATTTATATATCATTTGTTTTGTATCTGTATCTTTGAGGGTATGTCGTTTATGTCGTAGTAACCAAAATCTGGCTTTAACATGACAAGTGTAGTCTGTAGCCGAGCAACCCAAAGTCTGCAATCATAAAGCGGTCCCATTCTAAATTTCTTTCTCTTCCCCGTTTTATTTTTTTTTGTATGTTTATCCCGATTATCAGACAGTTTATGACTTCGGTCTTAAATAGTAGACAATTATTTGGATTAAATGAGAGCAATGCTTTTAAACCTCTATAAAATATTCATATGGTCAAGACAATTGCTAATTTAGTCTGTGGACTATCGTGACATTTATTCAACACATCGCGAAATTATATTACAAAAGACGTTATTAAACGAACAAATTACAATCATTATCATAACTCTGCCAAATATACACGATACTATATGGAAATAATGTGGATCAGTATAAGTCAATAAATAAGATTTATTTTTAATCAGAAAAAATGAAAACATTAAATAAAAGTAAACTGTACCTTACCGGAAGTCTTTCACAAAATTTAAATGGTTCCCTGCATGTGATAAATTTTGAAGCCAGGTAACAAACGTCAAACGGTGTCAAGGTCTCTCAGTTATCAAACATCACAAAATCTGAACCCTCTTCACTTGAGCTTTGATTCTGTCTTTGCTAGTTTGTGTCATTAAATTTTAGCCAAAATGGCAGGAAGGGATAAAGCTACCAACCAAATAGAGGAGTTTAAGAAGGCACAAGGGGTAAGAAATCTATGTTTTTATATTAAATAGCACTTGGCAGACTTTATTTCTTTACCAGTTTACATAACAATATGATTAGCTTGTTAACATAGTCAAACAGTTCAAAAGAGACATATACTTTTTTAAAGTTTTAAGCAGTATTTGGAGCTTGTATTCTGTGAAACGCTACAAAACATTTGTGGAGTGATGCATCATGCTATTGCTACAAACATTTAATCCAAATAAATTGGGTAACAAGACAACTCACCCAGACGATTCACCTCACAAAAAACCAAGACAACTCGTCCCTCAAGACAGTTCACCCCTACATAAATTGTAGGGGCTATTGTTGCCAATCTAAGGAAATTAACAGTTAATTTTATTGATAACCATTTGCCAGAATGACAATTCGTCCTGTGACTACTCTCCCAAACTAAATACGTTTTGTGTAACTAAAGATACTTCAGCGGACAGGTTTTATAGTACTGCTAGACCAGTACTGCCCAGACACGAAAATAGCACAATATCTTGTCGCGCAGTACAACTAATTATTTGGACTACAGTTATGGAAGCCAGAACTATGTTTCCTCAAGATAAGTGATGATTCCCTCTCGCTTCAAAATAATCATATTAGATGTAATTTACATTAATTATTAAAATCATAATGTGTAACATTAAAATTTAAATGTATGATTAAAATTTGTGAAATAAAATTTTCTCTTTCTTTATATTTAAGAACAGAAATTGGTCATTTTAACTGATGGGTTATCAATATTAAAACTGATAATGATTTGCCCAGGGCCAATTTGTCCCACTTCATCAATCATCATGGCACCATGTTTTAAATCATTTTTCTTCATGAATGTAACTTACCTTTATGTGCATAATTATATTCTAATTTCTTTGTAACTGCTGAGAAAAAATATCAGTTTTTCCAGTTGGTCCATGCACTGAAATGCTACACCTTTTTTATTTGAAGGCATTGAGTTTATTTATAAACATAAATTTCCAGTTTAATGACATAATATATAATTTATGTTAGCATATAGCATTACTAGAAAATACAATTGTTTATAAATTGAATTCCATTAAGTAACACTAATAGATCATATAAAAAAACAGTTATCACTTATTTCTAACATCAATGTAACTACTTATAGGTATCTCTGAAAGCTAAATAAAACAATAAAAAATGAGTTTAAACTTAATTATATAACATTTCTGTTAAACAAATACTTTTCTTATTCTATCTCCAAATCAAATGTTATCTATATAAGGTAAATACAAAATAAATGCATTAAAATTTAAGTACCTAAAACATACATGTATACATTTTTTTCAGTCCAAATGAATTAACAGTGTTTTTTTTCTCTACTTTGGGAATGGTGCCAGTACCAGACTGATTGGGAAAAAAATGTGTTATTTTGACTAAAATTGGGAATTTTTTTAATGCATTTTTTCAGCTACAAATGAGATTAGACATCCTGAATAAAGATAGCTAACAGCTTCTACTGTCAAATAGAACTATTGAGTGGTGATTTATATGAATATGTTGGATTTAAATGATTTTAGAAAAATCACTTGGCCTTGTGGGCATTTTGAACAGCCATTTTGGGAATTTTATTTAGCATTTGAAATTGGGAATTTTAATGTCTATTTTCTATTGGGAATGGTACCGTTTTAGGGTAGTAGTTATATAAAGAAAAAAAAACACTGATTAACAAATGTTTTGTATAAAGGGGGGGGGGGGGGGGGGGATGAATCTTCATTAAATTGGGAGAATCTTTACTTAAGTGCATGGTGCAAATCTTTATGTGGAAAATCATCAGCACATAAACATAATATTATTATCAATTAGGACATAATAAAATAGGACAAGCAACTACTCACATGGTAAGGGGTCTTATGATGTATCCATTTGACAGCTGATTAAATGTATTATCATATATTACATTGATAATTTTTCAGAAAATCATATTAAAACCATTAAAATACAAAAAGCCTGTTAAAACCTTTAGCCAATTACCTAATATTTTTCTTATTTACACTATTTATAAGAACAGAAAATATACCCTTTCATAATGATGAACATGACAAAATGGCAGTGAGTGCTGCTGATTGGGCAAAAAGATAACATGGCACTTATCTCCAGTTGCCATGTATTTTCCTAGTGATTTTGGGAAAAAGTACATGTACTTAGCCCAGTTTGGGAAATTTTGTATAGATCTTAAAATTGCTTAATTGGGAAAAATATTTGGTACCTTTTGAAATCTCCTCATGCTCTTTTGGCATAGTATTTTGAATGTGCAAAATTGTTTATTACAACCAGTGCAAATATCATTCAAAGCAAAAGAAAAACAACTTTAAAGTTAAGCAATGAAATTTGTGTTTACTTCTGTCTGATACAATACTGGAATGAACTCCAGGAATTGTAGTTCATTTTGGAAAGATTTTAAGATTGGGAAAAAATAAGCATATTTGCCATTAGGAATGGGTCTGGTAATCTGACCTGTGGTGACACTGGGAAAGGCATGGTTGCTTTTCCCATTATATTCTCATTCTGTACATGCACCCGCTGTCATTTACCCATTTGTGGGAGATTGGGGGTACATTTCAAAATTTAGGAGTATTGTCCAACAACATTCAGACCTGGCACTCTTGCATTTGACCCTGTAGTTGGTATATTCTGTAAACGTTACAATCTACTTGTAAATCGATATAAATGTATTGAAATACACAGTCATGACAGTATACTCAAATTTTTCAGGTTGTTTCTCAAGATTCAAAAAATGGTTTTGTTAATAAAACTATATGAAATTGCAGTAAAATATATCCAAACATCTTCAAATTAGACCCAGATTACTATTGTGAATTCTAATAGTAATATACATGCATAATACATGTGCCCATATACTGAAATGAATGTAGTGAATGTTACAAAATTTTATGTTCCTACAACACCCTATCATTCTCTATTACACATTATGCATTTATACAAATTATGTTTTCAGACCCCTGACTTGATGACAACAGGTACAGGGTGTCCTGTAGGTAACAAAAATGCCTCCAAAACTGTTGGACAGAGGGGTCCCGTGCTACTGGAAGACTTTGTGTTCACTGATGAGATGGCTCATTTTAATAGAGAAAGAATTCCCGAGCGTGTTGTACATGCTAAAGGAGCAGGTAGGAATACAAGATAAAAACAATTCTTGCTGTTAATCATTTCTTATTTAGAAAATTACATGTAATACCTCATAAAATTAGTCAAAAATATCACACTGGTACCAAGATCATCACTAATCTAAAAATAGATTGGTGGTGGTATACTGGTAGTTTTCACTCCAGATCACAGCAGTAAGCCTACTAAGCCACATTTAATTTAAAAGAGCACAGTTCAGCCACCGCATTTTTCCTGGGTTGGCTGTCAGGCAGTTTACCAGTATTAGTTGCCTTCACTTTTTGCAAGGAACTGTGACATCTGTACATGCTAGAGCAGAGGTACATAGAAAGGATTTCATGATCAATCACATCGAAAGTGACTTGCACTGACCGGGAATCGAAACCGGCTTGCCCGATTTACAGTCCAACACTTTACCTACTGTCAGCTAAATGGACAGCTTTAAAATTAGATTGGCACTGGCACCTGCACTAACACTGCGGTATACCGTACCCCGGATATTGCTCGATATTATGAGGACATTCATCCCATTTCGCGACTTTGAACGGGGAACGAAGGTAAGTTCAGCGACGATATTTTCCAAACTAATGGCTATTTCATTTATCTAAACGGGTTTTATATATCTAGAGGTATTTTTGTAGCTCTAAAAGACGTAAAAGTATTACAGGTATTTGTAAAATTGATTAAACTACCCTTAAACGATCCGCTGCTCACTAGAAAATACTGACCGCGATACTGTAGAATCGTTAGAAATTATAATATTACCAATATAAAAAAAAATTGAATCGAGCAATTTTTTTATTCACTATTCCAAGTATGCCTTGTCCAAATTTCAGGCAAAAAGTGTAAAAGTACAAAAAGATACAGGCCAAAAAAGATACAAGACAGTGTACCGAGTATTGATTTTAAGTGTACAGAGTATTGCAAAACAGCCCAACTTTAGTGTACAGAGTATTGCAAAACAGAATGAGCATATAAGTATGGAAACTCGATATTTTTGTCTAATTTTCACGTCTGTTTATCGATTCAATTTCATTTTTCTGATAATGTACTGTTTATATGATATTTATTCAAATATTTCAGATTCAACAGTGCATTTTCAGTGTTATTACTGTTCTTTTCTTCCGGGCAAATACAGAGATTTAATTTCCAATTTGGTTGAAAATCACACTATGGATGAAATAAAGTGTGTGCAGGGTCGGAAGCAGGGTAGAACCATCAAAATTGACGTTAAAAAACTTTAAATACATGTCTCAAGACACTTTTATCAAGGAGATCCATCTCTGAAATGGACAAGAATAAAAAAAAACATGTTTAGATGACATTAATAATAGGTTTTTACAGGGCAAGTTTGCCTTAAGAAACATATCGACGCACTTAATAAAATATTGGCCTGAGGGCTTATGCCGTCCAAGCATGCCGGTATCGTCTTAACCTTTTACTGCATGAGCATAATGCGAAAAATGGCTGTTTTCATTGAATTATAATTAAGCGTCTTGTTACAAGTTCAAACTGGTATGAAACTATAAAAAATGCTTCAATACTGATCAAACTGGGCACAAATGTTAGCTGGACCATATAGCCTGTGGAATAGCATGCTAATTTTTAAATTTCCACTTATCATGGCAACGGGGTGGGGGTGGTGGGGGGGGGGGCGTCTCAAAATTGCAAAAAAAACTCTATTTTGCGTTGTTTTTTCCCATCAAAATTGATTTCAAGGTGCACCAACTTCTCAATTGATTGATTGAGATAAAGTCTTAGGTTTTCGGCGTTTATTACACGGTACCTTTAAATCGACATGAGGCCATTTAGCCCCCCACAAGTCCCAAGTCTTCTCAGCGATTAGAGGGGCTACTGCCCCACTTAAAACCCCCAAACAGAAGGGGGCATCCCCCCCCCCTGCGTAACCCCCTTGATGTACCTTTTTAATGGGGGTGGCGCCGAAAAAGTGATCACTCTTTTAACAACATTTCTCAAACGAAAAAACCGTGTTTGTGGCCTAAATAGCGCATGTTTTACACTATTTGAGGCCTCAAAAGGGGTGGGGTGTAAAGCTTTATGAGATAAAGGTTATAAGGAACATAACCTTTTTATTGCATCTGCTGCCCTTTATCATAATCTTATCAAACTCTATTATTCGGTTTTTTTTAGCTATACCCGCCCGGCAGTCATACGGTAACTCATTGCTAATGGCGTAACAAAATTTCACGTACAGACGGTCTGCCGTTGCTAGAGTGCAGGTACAAAATGCCCGAAAGTTACCTTTTTATGGATTTTTTGCATAGTAGGAAGTCGGTTGATATTAGATATCGGCACACTTGCTCAATACCGCCTAATATTGACAATATTGAGGCAGTATTAATGGATGAATTTTTAACTATTTAAGATAAGATATGCAATAATTATTAACAAATTCTGGAAAGGTTGATCCTTCGATAGCAACGAAAACATTTTAAACACAGAAAATTGCTGAGTTCGTTCGGCTGAGATTTTTCACGAGCAGGAATGAAAATCTGGATTATTCGCAGATGTTTCCAGTAAAGTACCTCCGAATTCTGCATATTCTGCACATATAGTGTAAATAAGTATACACAGTAAGAAATATTTAAAATTAAATGTGGTAAATACTTTGTGTTTACTACTTGCATTTATTCTTCATTGATAACCAATACTCGTAACACTAAAAGCAATACTTGTGACACCGGCTGGCAACTCCAACGCAATACTCGGTACACTGACATGTGTATTTATTCTCAAAATGCACTGTTACCTTAGGTTCTATTGTTTATTGAACATTTACAACATAAACATAATCATCATTATCACATTTCACTCGATTCAAGTTTTTCTTTTAAGGAAGTATGTGCACAAAAACATCAAATTTGACTTATCCGAGCTCATTTATCACGTGAGCAAAGAGACGAATTTTACCTCCTAATTATATTTCAAAGCTATTTCTCAACATTTTTGGGGTTTCAGTAACTAGAGAAATTATCGTAGTATTTGTTTTTCTACAAAATTTATATCAAACCAATTCAAAATGACTAAATATCGTCACTAAACATACCTTCTTTCCTCGTTCAAAGTCGCGAATTGGGATGAAAGTCCTCATAATATCGAGCAATATTCGGGGTACGGTATACCGCAGTGACTAAATACCCAAGAATACCGGCAGCAGCACAAATACCGTACCAACACAATCATTGGCAACAGCATAATAACCCACACACTGGCACCAAAGAGTTTAAAAGTTTTATGCAAACATTATGCTGGCTGCACATTTACAATCAGGCTCTTGTCCAAGTTAATTTACATTGACAAGACCTCTGAAGAATTCACAACCGCTGAACAAAGCTGATCGTAGATGATCCATTCAACAACAGGGCCCAAGCTCCTGGATTCTCACCCAGTGTTTTTACATTACATTTACAATAACTAATAAATTATGTTATTTATCAAAGTTTGAAGTGTAAATAAGTATCTCTATGTTACAGATTTATCCCTGCAATAAATTTGTCCTAACTTAGGCATTTATAACATCTACCAGATATAAGGCCTACATTAAATTAAGAACTGGCAATGTTCCAGATTTAAAATAAACAGGCTGTGTGCAAGGATGAAATTTAAGCAAATCTAGATTACAACATCACCAAAAAGCTATATCATCCCCATCATTATATGCAAATGTAACATAAATTGTTGTTACTTGATACCTTTTTATGAAAAGCAGGATACAGTCATTTTTGTAATTTTATAAATCGGGTAAAACTATGACTCAAATATTATGCATTTTTTTGGTTGTTAAAATTTTATATAAAAGTTACATACTCAGTATGCATCTTTTGCGTTTATTGAAACTTCAGAGTTCATAATTTGTTACTTGATCAAGTGTCTATAAATAACTTGAGGTATTTGACATTGAACTTCAACATAGCTGTTATCATGAAATGTTTATATAAAATACGGTCATTTTAAAACTAAGAGTCAAGAAATTAAAACGCAGAATGGTTTCGTAACTTACTTCTCATACATACATGTGTTGTTGATACAGAGTTTGGTTATCATTACATGTATCATTCTGCTTCTGATAATTGACCATTTACATAAAGAGTGCTATAACTATGCACCATGTAGCAGGAGTTAATGCTGAACAATCTCAGAATAATGTTTTCAAATTTAACAGATTTTAAAGTGACTGCTGTTACGTGCTGTATCAATAAAATGAACAGAAAATGGTTGTAACATTTTATTCTGAATACATAAATCTGTCCCCTAACCTACACCTAAAATGTTAGGAATTAAAATGAGTTCAGTGACCATCTGAGCACTTTGAATATTGAATGAAGACAATTCATCATCTTTTTATTATAAAGGTCATCTCTGATTCAGCATTATTTTGCAGAAGACAGTTTGTCAATGACCCTTTCAATGCCAGAAATGCCATATTAATGATTGTATAAAATTAAGTATTTCTTTTATAATCAATAAATGTCATTAAGTAATGATAATGATTTAATGATAATGGTAAAAATTTCAAGAATTTCATATTTTAAATCCCATTGTGCATCTGCCATTACATGGTTATTTGTAAACATATTTTTTGTTCCATTTAGTAGATTACTTTAGGAAATATGTTGATCTTGAACTAGGTTTGAGATTTTTCTTAATATTCACTTTCAATTTTAATCTTGAAATTTACATGTTACGAAGAAAGAAACTTAAATGATAAACTACATTGTTTAAGAATACAAGACATGTAGCATTATTTTAGGAATCATTTATTGTCTATAGATAGCATGCTAACACTAAATATAGTGTCTCTTGTGGTAGAATTATTTGCTGGCATGTGATGTTATACAACACACAGCAAGAAATGAGTACACCCATTTTCCTGATAAGTAGACTTTGGCTTAACATGTTAATGTATTCATGTACACTAATGAACAAGCTAATGTCCCCTCGATCAAAGTTAAATTACTTTGTGTGTTGAACGAGTTATCATTTGTTTGAACTTTTCACATAAGTTTTATAACAAGGCAGGTAGTTACTTAAGTGATGTAGCCACTTTATCAGTTAGATAATACACACCAGGTACTGATAAAATTTACAATGTTCTAATGAAAAATCCATTTAATTTAAAACAAATTTTGTTTATTTAAAGGGCATGTTAGAAAAGAGAGAGAGAGAGAAAAAAAAACATGTAAAAAATGCGAAAAAAGCATTTAAAAACAAGATCACCTGTGGATGGATTGGAACATACTATAAAGTCTTTTTATGTCCCAGCTCATAGCTATTTTGATTAAAATCTTTTTTTTTTTAAATGAAGACTTACTTACAATGTATGTGCACCATGCATCTAAAGATATAATTATGATGAAAATGACAAAGAAAATATATGACTGAAATGTCTAACAGTAAAAAATGTAGGTCTTATATGAAATATCAGTTGATGTGAATTTTAAGAATTATCTAAATTACATAAATTTTAAGTAATTAGGTTAAATATATGTAAATGTAGGTAGTTAGGTAGGTAATTAGATTTCATGCAATTTAGAAATGTACACCTTTTCCACCTGTTGCCCTTTGCAGTCCTGAATTTTTGAAATGGACTTGACCTATTTTGAATTTGGAACTGTTCATTGTTAGGTTTAGGGATTTTGATATCATATTACCACAGAACACAGAGTCTGATCAGATTGCTGGGTGGACATGTCAGCTATATTGAGGTGGTGCAGGCAAGTCATTTTCTCTGATGAGGTCTCAAAACCTTAGACAAATCCTTAATTCTTTACTCCCACCTGCAGACTTCACTCATTTCATAAAATTATGTACTAAATTTTGTTTTTATGTTTTATAAGATGTTATTGTTTCATACAATATCATATCATATTGATATCAGACAAGTATTTTTGAGATGAATACTGCATGAAACATTTATATAATGTATTTCAGGTGCATTTGGATATTTTGAATGTACACATGATGTTACTAAATACACCAAGCTGAAGCCATTTGAATTCATTGGCAAGAAAACTCCTCTTGCTATCAGGTTCTCTACTGTTGGTAAGTATATTTGATGTTCTATTTGACAAACACCGAAAAATCCATTGATATTCTATAATTTTAACATATTTTTATTGAACCAAGCCCTTTAGATAATAATAATTTATGCGCAAGGTTGGAGGGGGGCATGGAGAAGGGGGAGGATACAGATTTGCCCTTGTCAGTCTGTTGCAATGTCATGCTGTCCATATGGAGACTGATAAAACAATGGAATTTGGAGACATCTGTGTCTTTTAGACACATTTCAAGCTTGTTGAATAACTTGTTTTGGATGACAGTTTTGTTTTTTGCTATTCTCTTATGTATATACATTTATGACAGGGAAATATTTTAGTGAAATAAGTGAAATTATTGTTATTGAGACAACAAAGTTTCTTTTTTCAAAACGATGTAGATTGCCATTTTTCCAGACATTTCAATTAAAATCTAAAACAATATTTAGTTTCATCTTATCTATTTGTAGAAGACACTCACTGACTATATTGATTTTCAGGTGGTGAATCTGGGTCAGCTGACACAGCACGTGATCCTCGTGGATTTGCCGTCAAGTTCTACTCAGAAGAGGGCAATTGGGATATGGTTGGCAATAACACACCAATCTTCTTCATCAGAGACCCATTCCTGGTAAACTTGTGTTTTCATTTCTTTGTTATTAGATATAGTTACTTAAAAGAAGTTTTGTAAGTAAAGAGGTTGATGGGTACCCACTTGTTATGGAAACTATTGCCTACGTTTGATAGGTCACTTGTCCCTTAGCTTAGTGTGTTCAAATCCCATGATACACTAACCACTTTTTCATGGAAAGAAGCTATCCACCTACTGAGTGTTGGTGTTTCTAAAATGTCACAGACATCATTCACAGAGAGGTATCTAGGTATTTTTAAACCAATAAAGCTGAAAACATACCAGCATGTCCTTAATGATGTTGATTTGATTTAATTTTGATTCTACTTAATTGACTTTGAAAATGAAATTTGCAATTTATTTCAGCTATTAATATGTCTGAGCAGATTTAGACTTTGGAAGTGATATATAATGATGTCTCCAGGCTTTAACTACGTAACTGTAAATAAATTGTAATCAGATATACATTTGTATCATTTTCAATCTTTTGGTCTGTCTGCTTTTGAAGTGCAGCATTTTGTTTGTTAAGTGAACTGTGCACTATAGATAAATAATATATATAGTGTTTTTGCTAAATTTTTCTGTTTACAGCTTGATATTTTATAAAGTTGTATATCATATTACACATGTTTTGATGTTCTGTTTCTCATTACGCCTGTTTTTATTACAGTTCCCAAGTTTCATTCATACACAAAAGAGAAACCCACAAACACATTTGAAGGTACATATGTACTTAATATACAGTTTAAATAACTTATTTATATTCAGTATAAATAACTGTAACATGTACTGATTTAAAGTGTTAATTTAAGCCTTACCATGTCCTATCATAAATTGTGTAATTTATCAAGTTTTTACTTGGCTTGTTATGAAGTTAGATTTTTGCAACTTATATTAAGCACTTTCCAGTCTGCTTCCTGGAACCAATAAGTACCAGTGTCAAATGAAAAAACATGGTCGTGACCTGATTAGGACTTGAACCCATGATCGCTTGTTGAGAGGCAGACACCTTAACCACTAGGCCACCACTCCCTGTCTTAGGCCCTGTCTACACCTATTCAAGTTTCTTACATCTCACATTTAGATAAGCTAAATAAATGGTCCTTTCAATATTTAATCAGGCGAAATGTCTAATTAAGATTTCCCAGGATTTATACCTTTGTCTTTGCAATACTATCATGTTTCTGTAAAATATGTGAATAAAAAAAGCGGGAAAATGATGCAATAAGCTAAAAACAATGGAGTAAATGAAATTGAAATGTGTACATTCTTTTAAAATAATGCAAAAAATGTGTGAAAAATATTTTTGAGCTGATAAATTGATGCAAATTCTTTATTTGATGAAAGTTATTCACTAAATGAACAAGAGCATTTAAAATCCATTTTGACTACTTGAAAAACTGTTGTTTTTTTTCTTTCTTTTTTGTTTTTTGTTTTTGTTTTGCTCTTCTGTGTATCAGTGTATTGATCTGTTCCTCTGATCAAGATATTTTTATACATTTACTAAAATTTACAGATCATGAACACTGAATCAGTAACAAAAAAAGTGAGAAAATAATTAAAAAAAACAACACTATCACATCTTCGGGGCACATGTTTTGTGTCAAACCGGTGTTATCAGTGTCTTGACAGCCAAAACTTGTAGAAAAATAGAATGTGTTCTAACTTTCTTGCAAGGAATTATCTTCTTGGATGTCACATAAGTTCTCTTTAAAACTTATTCAAGTAGGGTGTCTACACTATGCAATACAAGAGAATATGATACTTGCATTCAAGACTTGGATAGGTGTAGACGGGCCCTTAACTATCGATAGTGAGTTGAAAATAAGATGTTTCAGCTAGATTTTATTCCAAGTCTATAAAAACTGATAACATTTTCTTTTATGGTATAATAACAAAATGCTGTCTGATTTACAGGAGATAGTACTATATATAAGTTATTGTTGTTTATTTAAAATAATTTAGTAGATTCAAATTATTTAGTATATTGTACATGCATATTCAAGTAATTTTAGTTTTTTTATGGTAATTAAGTTATTTTAGTATATTCAAGATATTTTAGAACAGATGTTTTAAATTCAATGTGTATTATAGTTTAGAGTATTCTCTATGCATACTCCCACTCAAGCTTTATATTGTATTAAAACTTTATTTTAAACTTATTAAGTTATAAGAAATAGTATATAATGAGTTAAAATTTCTATTTTAGGATCCTGACATGTTCTGGGACTTTATCAGTCTGCGTCCTGAAACTACCCACCAGGTGTCCTTCCTGTTCTCCGACCGTGGCACACCTGATGGCTACAGACAGATGAACGGCTATGGAAGTCATACGTTCAAGCTTGTCAACAAGGACAATAAAGCAGTGTACTGTAAATTCCACTGGAAGGTTGGTGAATATTCTGATGGGTCTGTTCTGTATAACACTCTCATAGCTAAATTTGTGTAATGGTCTTGCTTTGTCCTCTAGTTTTTAAATTTCATTACTGTTTTATGAGGTTGCCATAGCAAATAGCTTAAATCGGGAAGTTTAGTTAAGGAAGTCGTGTATATATAACATAGATAATCAGATTTGGCTTGGGGGTTTGTACATGTGGCATGTAGAAATTCATTATAAAATCTAGCAATTAATTGTTTTATAAGAACCTTCAAACCCAACCCTGTGCAGACATTGAAATAGTCTGTTCTTTTCAGAAGATAAATACTTCCAGTTGAATCGGTTTTTCTTCATATTCATAATTTTTATTCACTTTGAATAAAAAGTTAACATTTTTCATGTTTTTTTTGTTTGTTTGTTTTTCAATAATTATGTGAACTGATAATATGATTAATGAATAATTGTAAATTATGGAGCACATTTGCACAAAGTACAAGACACATGTTGGTGCATGACTATTGCTACTTCTAACTTTATTTAAATGTGGCTAGGAAATAGAGACAGCGAGGTCACACAAGTTTGATGATATTTTCTGTAATCAATTTAAGATTGTCAGTGAAAAAATGTACTAAACAATGCCTCACTATTACAGTGTGACCAGGGAATCAAGAATCTTATGGCAGATAAGGCTGGTGATTTGGCAGGTAGTTCACCTGACTATGCCATGCGTGACCTTTACAATGCCATCGCCCAGGGCAACTACCCATCCTGGTCCCTCAAGATTCAAGTCATGACCTATGAAGAAGCTGAAAAGTTCAGGTGGAATCCATTTGACTTAACAAAGGTAATGTAAACCAATCTATTATCATTGATATTCTGATTTTCAATTCAATTAGTAGAAACTTGTGTATTATTCTTACAACATAATGTAACCTTTTGGAAGGAAATCAATACTTTATACTCTCAGTTTTCTCTCTGCCCAAACTGTCATGTGGTACTGAATAGATTATCATTAAGCATTTTATGAGTTTTTGGAAAAATAGAACCCACTTTTTTGGAATTTACATAAAAAAGGTTTCATAATGAAGGCTGTTAAGTACATGTAACTTAGATCAAATTGATTAATTGTTATAACAAAAATGCCTTCATCTTTCTACAAAGTCGTTCTTCCTAATATTTTTTTCTGTACTTTGTGAATATTATTACAATGAAATACTTACAGATTATTCTGCACACACCGTTTACTTTGATGCACCATCATGCATTTAAATAATATGCATATAATAAACATGTATTATTGTTTTAGGTGTGGCCGCAGGGAGAATACCCCCTCATTCCAGTAGGTAGAATGGTACTTAACAGGAATCCTAAGAATTATTTTGCAGAGGTTGAACAGATTGCCTTCTCACCTGCACACATGATTCCAGGTGTTGAGGCCAGCCCTGATAAAATGTTACAGGTACTGTACTGGTTTTGTTTCTCAAGTGTTTAGTCATATCCAACCAGCACTAAGTATTATTTGTGAAATAAGTTTTACTAACATTTTTAGCTCGACTATTCAAAGTAGGGAGAACTATTGTACTCATCAAAGTGTTGGCGACAGACTTTAGTTAAGTTTTTGTGTGCAAGTTAGTATCTATAAAACTAATGAAGAGAATGGGTCGAAACTTCAGACACTGACTTGACACATATTAGGAGGACAGTTTCTAAGGCCTATAACTCTAACATGGATTTTGAAAAAATTACGGCCATTTTTGAACTTTGAAAATTCTACATTATCCAGGCTTTTGTTTTACTGTCAAGCACTGAAAATAGTTGAGCTCACTGCTCTTCTTCTGTCCTTTAGATTGATATTATTTCCATGTAATTCATTAAATGCAACAGTTGAGGATGCTGACTAAATGTTAAGCTTTCATTATACATTTGAAATGAATGCATAAATAACAATATATTGGTATGATTGTTTGTAGGGTCGTCTGTTCTCGTATTCGGACACACACAGACACAGACTGGGCAGCAACTACCTACAAATCCCAGTGAACTGTCCTTATAATGCCAGGCTTAGAAACTACCAGAGGGATGGTCCACAGTGTGTCACAGATAACCAGGGTATGCAGTTAAAAATAATTTACTGTTTTACAATTGTTAAAAAAAGATAAAAGTTGTTGCAGAAGACTTTTTACTTTGATCTAGATGCCTTTTAAGTGGTAAAGATGCTATAATTTTTTTAAAATTTTTCAAAAGCTTTCAATTTTTGGTGTTTAAAAGGTTTTTCCGCATTTTGCCAATTAATACACTTTGTTTGGAAGTTAAAATACCACTTGCTTTACATTTTGCTACCTTAATGACAAATAATTACACATTCGTCACTATTTCTTTATATTCTCACATGTTATTAATCCAAATGTACAAATAAAAAGATCAAGATGATAAAACATGTGTACCCTTTTTACAGTATGAAAATTGTTTCATTTCTGAGGTTAAGATCTGCCTTTATGTATAACCATAAATCTCCTTGGTTTGAAATCAATCCAAATAAATTTTTTTTTTAAGATCTTGCCAATTTACTGGTATTGAATGCTATATATTAAACATATTTTGATTGACAGGTGGTGCTCCAAATTATTTCCCCAACAGTTTCAGCGGACCCCAGGATGACACTAAATACTTGGAGCACATGGACAACTTTAAGGATGGACAAGTTGGCAGATACAATACTGCAGATGATGATAACTTCACACAAGTTGGAACATTCTTCAACAAGGTCAGTGTTATTTCTTGATTTATAGTTTCAACTTGAGAAAAAGGTTAAGGTCACTGACCCATCTCTACTTTGTGTGTGTATTTGAGTTTATTTTTTCTATATAGGCGAGTCCTCAAGAGGAGAATTAGTTTTTTTAGCTCACCAGAGCCGAAGGCTCAGGGTGAGCTATTAGTATCAAAGGGGGATGCTCCGGCGTCCGTCGTCATGCGTCAACATTCGTCTTCTTCTCTGAAACTACTAAGCCGTTTTACTTCAAATTTGGTCTGTAGCATCCTTGTGACAGTCACACTTGAATTTGCTCATATCATTCCAAGTTAAAAATAGAAAAACCTTTAAACATCTTCTTCTACAGAACTATCACCAAACTTTGTCTGTAGCATTCTTGGGTAGTCTTTTATCAAGTTTGCTCATATTAATTTGATTGGCCCCTTTTAGGGGTCTCTAGGGCTAAAAATAGAAATAACCTTTAAATGTCTATTTTTACACAACTAATTGATGGAAGATCACCAAACTTTGTCTGTAGCATTTTTGGGTAGTCTTTTATCAAGTTTGCTCATATTAATTTGATTATCCCCTTTTACTGGTCTCTATAGCTAAAAATAGAAATACCTTTAAATGTCTATTTCTACAGAACTAATGGATGAATGATCACCAAACTTTGTCTGAAGCATTGTTGGGTAGTCTTTTATCAAGTTTGCTCATATTATTTTGATAGGCCCCTTTTAGGGGCTGCTTAAATTAAAAATAGATATACATTTAAACGTCTATTGCTACAGAACTAATTGATGGATGATTACCAAACTTTGTCTGTAACATTATTGGGTACTCTTTTATCAAGTTTGCTTATATTAATTTGATTGGCCCCTTTAAGGGGCCACTAAAGCTAAAAATAGAAAAAGCCACCGAACATCATTTCCTACTGAAATAATTGATAGATGATCACCGAACTTTGTAGCATTCTTAGGTAGTCTTTTATCAAGTTTGCTCATATTAATTTGATTAGCCCTGTTTAAGCTAAAGTTTAAATGCCTCAGGTCATGGCATTTCTTCAAATTATTGTTTAAACATATTATATGCTCAAATTTAATAGAATATATTGACATTCCAACACTGATAAGCAGTTGTTTCTGGTGAGCGACTCAGGGCCATCATGGCCCTCTTGTTTAATTTTTGGAGGATAATGCAAGATTCCCCAATTCCAGAAGCTTTTCCTGGTTTTTTAGCGTGGCAAGGATTTAAGCACTCATACATTGGACGTCGATTTAAAGTCTCATCCAAAAGACTGATGACAAGTAATTGGCTAGCCTGGGAATTGAACCCACAAATTGATTATAGGTTGTTTGTATAGCTGCATAGCTCATTAGTGGCTCTATTTTGTTGCCTGATTTTGTGTATAAAATGAAAGGGGCCACCTTAGGATCTTCAACAACCAATAATAGATATAGGAAAGTAAGAATATGACTTAACCTTTTCCCTGATATAAGCATGTTTCGACGGCTTTTTGCCCCCCCCCCCCTTTTTTTTGAGGCCTCAAACAGTGAAAAAGCGCCCTATTTAGGCCCCAAACACATTTTTTCGTTTGAGAAATGCTGTTAAAAAAAGTGACCACTTTTTCGGCGCGGCCCCCCATCAAAATGATACATCAGGGGGTTTCCAGAAGGGGGATGTGCCCCCGTCTGTTTGGGGGGTTTGAAAGGGGGCAGTAGCCCCCCTCATCACCATGAAAATTTTGGACATGTGACAGGCTAAAAATGGCCTCAGGTCGATCTTAAGGTGATGTGATACCAACCCTGAAAAGCCTTTTACTCTATCCCATTGCATTGATAAGTTGCAGCACTTTGAAATCAGTTTTGATGGAAAAAACAATGCAAAATAGTGATTTTTCGCAATTTTGAGACATCCTTCCATTGCCATGGTAACAGGAAATTTAAGATTGAGCATGTTGTTACAGAGGTTATGGTTCAGTCAACATTTGTGCCAAGTTTCATCAGTATTGAAGCATTTATTATAGTTTTATAGCAGTTGGAACTTGTTACAGGAGGCTTTTCAATGAAAACGGCCATTTTTAGCTCGACTATACGAAGTATATGGAGAGCTGTCCTACTCGCCCCGGCGTCGGCGTCCAGATTTTAGATTAAAGTTTTGGTGCAGTAAAATATTTTTCACTATAACTTTGTCATTTCTTAAGGTATCAACTTCAAACTTCAAATATATGTTCCTTATCATCAATCACATCTTATGTGACAAGGTTCATAACTCTAGCACCAATATTTTCAGATTTATCTCCCCTTAAACTTAGAATTTTCCTTAAAAAATACTATTTTTTACTGATACTTCTTTATTTCTTAAGGGATCAACCTCATACTTCAAATATATGTACGTTATCATCATCCCCATCTTATGTGACAAGGTTCATAACTCCAGCACCAATATTTTAAGATTTATCTCCCCTTGAACTTAGAATTTTCCTCAAAAAATTCTATTTCTTACTGTTTCTTCTTTATTTCTTAAGGGATCAACCTCATACTTCAAATATATTTACGTTATCATCATCCCCATCTTATGTGACAAGGTTCATAACTCTAGCACCAATATTTTCAGATTTATCTCCCTTTGAACTTAGAATTTTCCATACAAAATATTATTTTTTACTGTAACTTATTTATTTCTAAAGGGATCAACTTCATACTTCAAATATCTTTACGTTATCATCATCCACATCTTATGTGCCAAGGTTCATAACTCTAGCACCAATATTGCAAGAATTATCTCCCAATAAACTTAGATTTATTTACTAGAAAAATGTTATTTTTAGCTCACCTGTCACAAAGTGACAGGGTGAGCTTTTGTGATCGCTTTTCGTCCGGCGTCCGTCCGTCGTCCGTCCGTAAACTTTTGCTTTAAATGACATCTCCTCATAAACCACTGAGCCAATTTCATCCAAACTTCACAGGAATGTTCCTTTGGTGGTCACCTTTAAAAATTGTTCAAAGAATTTAATTCCATGCAGAACTCTGGTTGCCATGGCAACCGAAAGAAAAATCTTTAAATATCTTCTTTTAAACAACCCTAAGAGCTAGAGCTTAGATATTTGGCATGAAACATCTTCTAATGAGTGTCTACCAAGTTTGTTCAAATAAAAGCCCTGGGGTCAAAATTGGCCCCGCCCCAGGGGGTCATTGATTTTCCCTATATGCATATAGTAAAAACTTAAAAAAATCTTCTTTTAAAGAACTGTAAGAGCTAGAGCTTAGATATTTGGCATGAAACATCTTCTAGTGAATGTCTACCAAGTTTGTTCAAATAAAAGCCCTGGGGTCAAAATTGGCCCCGCCCCGGTGGTCATTGATTTTCCCTATATGCATATAGTAAAAACTTAAAAAATCTTCTTTTAAAGAACTGTTAGAGCTAGAGCTTAGATATTTGGCATGAAACATCTTCTAGTGAATGTCTACCAAGTTTGTTCAAATAAAAGCCCTGGGGTCAAAATTAACCCCGCCCCAGGTGGTCATTGATTTTCCCTATATGCATTTAGTAAAAACTTAAAAAATCTTCTTTTAAAGAACCCAAAGAGCTAGAGCTTAGATATTTAGCATGAAACATGTTCTAATGGGTGTCTTCCAAGTATGTTCAAATAAAAGCCCTGGGGTCAAAACTGGCCCGCCCCGGGGGTCATTGATTTTCCTTATATGTGTATAGCAAAAACTTAAAAATCTTCTTTGCAAAAACCCAAATAGCTAGAGTTTAGATATTAAGCATGAAACATCTTTAAGTAAATATCTACAAAGTTTGTTCAAATAAAAGCCCGGGGGTCAAAACTGGCCCTGCCCCAGGGGTGTAATTGTTTTTAACTATATGTGTATAGTAAAAACTTAAAAAATCTTCTTTTAAAAAACCCAATGAGCTAGAACTTAGATGTTTAGCAATTGAAACATCTTCTTATGGGTGTCTACCAAGTCTGTTAAAATAAACAAATAAAAGCCCTTGGGTAAAAATTGGCCGGGGGGGGGGGGGGGGCTATATACAGGTGAGCGACCTCAGGGCCATCATGGCCCTCTTGTTTATTTTAACTTTTTATTTTTAAAGGTATCTACCTCAAACTTCAAATACTTATTCCTTATCATCAATTATATTTTATGTGACAATGTTCATAACTCTTGAAGCAATATTTACAGATTTATCTCTGTTTGAACTTAGGATTTTCTTTAAGAAATATAATAACTTTTTATTTTTTAAGGTATCTACTTCAAACTTCAAATATATATTTCTTATCATTACACAAATGTTGTGTGGCAAGGTCCATAACTCTAGCATGACTATTTCTAGAATTATTCCCCTTGATCTTGGAATTTATGTTAACAAATGTTAGTTTTTACTATAACTTAATACATAATTATACATAATTGATTTTTCTTTCATAGTTTTGTCCTCCTTACTGCGTCCAGTATTTTATTAGTCGAGCTTCGCTGTCTCCTGTGACAGCTCTTGTTCACAATATGCTCATGGGGTAAAAGGTTAAACATGAAAATGACAAATGAATTAAGACAGAAAGCTATGTCTGATCTATAAAAAAAGTTCAGTCAACCAAATAACGTACGCAATTTGTAGAAATTTGGGAGAATTATTTGATTAATGCTGATGAGTCAAGTTGGTCTAGATTGGTCTAGATGTTTTTTTACTTTCCCTAATATTTTAAATATCAAGTTAGTAATATCCAATGAAATTTCGAATATTTAGTATGTTGAAATTTCTGTGTGTTATATTAAATTGGAAGTTTTCATCACTCATTATATACACAGGTGCTGTCAAAGGAGGAGAGGGAACGGCTCACAGAAAATATTGCTGGTCATATGAAAGATGCTCAAGAATTTATCCAGAAGAGGGCGGTCGGAAACTTCGCTAAAGCTGATCCAGAGTATGGTAGAATGATCCAGGAAAAACTGGACATGCACAAGAAAAAATCACAGGTTTGTAAAATATTATTGATTATTGTATTCATTTTTGAAATTTTTGAAATTCCACCATCACTGATTGCATTGGAATGAAAAAGAATTGTGAATAGTCACAATAGGAAAATTATTTAAATAATGGAAGTTAGTCACACGTATAATTAAAATTAATGGTTATGTAATATTTTGAACATATTTTTAGGGAAAGAATAAAAACAATTCATGAATCTATTTGTATTTCATTAATATTTCTGAAATGATAAAAAAAGTTCCGAGCAACCAATCAAGAAATTTTTAGTTGTCTTCGGAAAGGGACTCTGTATTATCAGTTTTCAGGAATGCCTTCTTTAAACAGAGCTAGCTTTGATAATTAGAATAGCTACCTGGACAAATAACAAAGTTATTTGATTTAAAAGCAAATTGGTGTTTCCGGCATAATTTTGAGGAAAGTATTGCAAAACTTTATTGATCTTCAAGAAAATCATTTATGTACCCTAAATTTTCTGGGTTATTTTTAGTGAAAATAAAGAAAAGTTTAGAAATAATTTTAATTTTTTTAGTGTTGTTTTGACTTAAGAACTCATCTGTAAAAGAAGCAAAACAAAGTGTATACGCAATTTAGCTTGTTTCTTAGTAGAGTATAACAATTAGAAGAAAAAACAAAAGATAAAATTTATAAATCTTAATAAAATTTCACATAATACTCTGAGAATGGTTAGAATATTTAACATTTAAGTTTTGCTTGTTGTGAATATGTTTGTTTAACTCTTGAATGTTTTGGCAACACTACAGCCTGCAGCCTAGGTTTGTATGGATAAATTTATTTTAGCAAAATATAAGCAGACAAAATATCTGAATAACAGACATAAATGCAATTTGTAGAGGGCGTGGATATTTTAGAACAACTTCTCATCAACATGTTGAGACTGGTTGTTATTCAATCAATACATATTTAAAAAATTTCCCTAAAAATGATTTATGGTTCCGTCCAGACTTAAAATGGATAGGTCCATTTTTAGATATTTAGGGTAGAAAGGGTTCAATATTGAAATCCCTAAAACTAGTATTGGACTGTTCAAAATAGGACAAATTCATTACGCCAGAAGGTTATGGTTAAATCCATTTAAAATTGTGAAATTTGTATATCAAGAGTATATTTAATTTAATTTCTTAGTTGTAATAAATTTTCAAGTACATAATTATATGTGTTTATATACTGTATAGCAAGAGAAGTTTTTACCAAAGTAATTTGCTTCAAATTAGCTTTAACTAGACTTGCTTTGAGCTAGGTACAGTAATGGCATGATACACACAAATATAAACATTTTTACTGTTTGATCTTTTAAACAAATTTAACAATCTTTTTCTCTTCTCTATACAGTAAAGACTGTTTCAGTGACCCCCTGTATATAGTGACATTCCATAGTTTGGTGCATCGAACAGTATTTACCATATAAATGGTCTGTATATAGCGACTCCATGTCTAGTCCGTACAATGACCATGATTTAGTGTCTCCCATTACGTTATGTAAGCCGTGAAAAGCAACTTTTGCAAGGGGAGTAACTCGAATGGGGTTACCAAAAAATTAAAAGTTTTTAAGAAATTAAAATTAAATTAAAAATATCTGAGGCATTATGGGGCTTTAAGAAAATAAGAAAGAGAAATAAAAAGATGAGGGAAGCAAGGCAAAAATATAAGTTAAGGACATAAGAAGGTGAATATTATGGTTTGGAAAACCAGAATGTATACATAAAAAGTTTAACTAAAGGTTTCAAACATATTAAACACCATTTTCTCCCAACAATTTTTAATAAATGTATATCAGTACATAATCCTAAACCTATTCATTTTTATTCTACTGTATGTATCTTATTGTAGAAAGTGTATCTTATTAGTAAAATTGAATTTAAAACAAAGTTTTTGTTTGTTTTGTTTTTACAAACAGATATAACAATATAAATTACATTTTTTAACAATATGTAACTTTTAAAAATCTTAACCAATTATACATGCAATTTTAATACTGTCTTGTTTTTATAAATGATATGTGGTATGTTTAATATATGTATAATATAAATGAAAAATATAATAAAAACCCTAAGTATGCTACTCTCCTGCTTTTCAACAAAATATTGGCAAAATATTTTCATATATTCAAATTCCTTAGAGACTGTTCACAGTGACTCCCTGTCTATAATGACCTCAAATTTTCTTTTCTCCCATTGACGGTCACTGTAAACAGTTTTTACTGTATATATAATATTTGTATCTCGCCATCTTATGAAAAGATAACAAAAAAGTTCATAACCAACCATGCGTTAAATTTAAATGCATTTAGTATTTGCATAGTCTATACTATAATAAAAATTAAGTGTTAAAAAATTTAAGTGGTTTCAGTCAAAATCTTGTACTGTGTACAAATTATTTGAAGTTATTTTTTATGTCATAAGATAAAGAAATTTTTGTCTTCAGTCATAAGGTATAGACAGTTTTTAGATTTACTTTTTTGATTTGTCCATTGGTGACTGGCCTTTAGATAAGAAATAATCAACATTTAATACGATACACCCTGTATAATGCTGCATGCAGGGCTCAAATGAGACTGAATGCATTTACAATGTTTCAACATGTCTCTCTATTTTTTCTTGCAGAAGTCAGGCGGAACTATGGCACAGTTGTAGACATATGACAGACATCAATTAATGACTTTTTAAAAAACAATGTGATAATTTGGATTTTTGTAAATTTAAAAATCTAAAAACCTGGTGAAAAAATCTTTGTGGTCAGAGATGTTATTTATTACTTCAAAGTAACTAGTGTTTATAACATAAAAACTCTGGAAATCACGCAGTTGTGATAGTGTAGAAATAATCTTATATGAAAAATACTTTTTAAAGATTTTTTTTGGTGAAAGTAAAACGAGAATGTACAAAGAAACCATCACAGATTGTATACAATTATGATATTTTACATAATTATGTAAGTGATTTTTGGTTTATACTTATATAAATGTTAAGGTTGGTGAGCATAGTATTATAACTTGTGTCAAAATATCACAAAGGTATTTGAGGTTGTTTCATTTTCAGTATAAAACAATTGTTTTTGCTGTTGTAATTAAGATTATATGATTTATTTTGATTATATACACAGGACAATTATCCACAGATGTAAATATTTTTTATAAAGGATGGCTGCTTCTGATAGTACTTGAAGCTGTATATACATATATATATATAAATATATATAATATAGGATATTAGGGAATTGCCAAGAAGTGGTATAAACCGCCAAGACATGGTATAAACCGCCAAGAAATTGGTATGAACAGCCAAGAATTGGTATAAATGGCCAAAATTTGGTATAAACAGTTTCTTTTCAATTAAATAATATTTGAAATAACCAAACATTTCCAGTGTAACTTATGAATTTTCAGTTCTGAATGATACCATGAACTTACCTCAAACACTTCTATACTGGTCACCTTTGTTAGTTAGAGGCAAATTTGTTATTATATTTACATTGATTTACAAACCCCTGCTTGTTATGCTGATGATATGATTTTATACATTGTATCTGTTTTGTTATTCGGAAATCAGTTGACATTGTTATCAATTCCTGTATTTTAAAGAATCATGAAAATATTTTCATCATTGACATAATCATGCTATAATTAATAAATGGAAAATTAAACTGTTATGTTTTGTTTTGTTATATATGTGGTAAAGATATCACATTAAAAGCAAGGTTCTTTTTGTTGCAAGAGATAACATCAAGAAAGATGGGTAGATGTAATCAGTTTCAAATTCACCTGTTGACACCTTATCCTGGTTGGTTTAAACAATATTTATTTTTATTACATGCTTTTCGGTGGTTTATAGAAATATATCAGTGATATAAAACTGGTAATTTCACTGTTTTAAACTGTTTTGAATTTAAGCCCCTTACAGTGTTTCAGTGAAATACCAGCGTGCACAGTACTGGGAACCAACTTAATGACGTGACGTTGTAAAAGACGTCATGTTGTATTATTATTTGGAGTGCTTTTAATTTGCATTAGGTTTAATGTCTTTTTAAAAATATAATAAAAAGAAAATTTGTTTAGTTCAGTGTAAGATCGAAATATATTTCACCTTGTGAACACCAAAAGTTCATATTTCACTTGTGGCTTTGCCACTCGTGAAATATACCTTTGATGCTCACTCAGTGAAATATATTCTGATCTAACACTGAATTAAACAAATATTCTCTATGTATTTCATGCTTTCCAGTGTTTTACTGTAATATATCAGATGATTATATTCTGATAAACCACTAGTGAAATTTATAAAATATAATTTTCACTGTAGCCGGATTATATCTGAATGAGCATGAAAAGTATATCAAAACTAAATGATATAAATGCCGTCAAACATAAATTTTGCTTCTTTAGAAAATGAACATGTTAAAAATGTAACAAAATAAGAGCAATTTAACAGAACTATATTTCAAAAGTGATGATGAGACGCCAATATGTGATGACGTCACAAATGAGAATGCGCGATGTTAAGCAGAAAAATCAGTTAAAATACTTAAAATCACTTAAAAAGCATAAAAAATAAAAAGAAAATTTATTTGTTTTACATATAAGATTTAAATATATTTCATTAGTGAACACCAGCTGTTCTATTTTCACTTGTGGCTATGCTATATTGCATCTGGTGTTCACCAAGTGAAATATATTTCAATCTTACATGCAAGACAAACAGTTATCTTCTATATTCTTCATTTTTTCAAATAAAATCTTGATACATAAATTACATCCAGGTTGATATTTCTTTTCCCTAAAACTTTGTAATGGACAGTTCCAAATGCAGAACTGGTCAAGTCCATTGCTTTGTTTTTGTTTGTTTTGGGTTTTATGTCGCATCTACTCAGTATAGGTCATACCGCAACGTTCCAGCTTTTACTGGTGGAGGAAGACCTCAGGTGCCCTTCCATGCATTAAATCAGGCATGAACGGGCACCTGAGTAGAACCACCAACGTTCCGTAAGCTAGTTGGATAGCTTCTTCACATGAAAGAATCCAAAGTCCCTGTCGGGATTCGAACCCGCAGCGGTGAGGGGCAAGTGGTTTGAAGTCAACGACCATAACCACTTGGCCACAGACGCCCCCAAGTCAATTGCATGGGTAAAGTGCTGTCCAAGATAAAATGTCTAAAATTTAAAATAAGAGGAAGTTCACAAATACAGTCTTCATTCTTTTTATTTCTTAAATGAAAGTGTTCTTACAACTTAGTCTTAATTTAAGAAATAGATCTCGATTTTAAGTGATCTATGATATAATATAGCACGGTATAGAGTTCAGATGCACAGTAATATAATCATGAGGACCGTAGTAGTATAATACTGGATTAAAACAGCCTACATGTATATTGTGACATTTTATAAAGCTACATGCCTCCAGATGAGCCAAACTATTTCAAGAAAACCTAAAGTACTAAAATTTTAAGAAAAGTAAAAAGATTCAAGTGATAATTTACATATTGTATGCACTTAATGACTGATTTTGCAGTATTTATTACCTTATTTTTACTGCTCGTCTAAGGCCTGTTTTTGCATATTCTGATATTTTTAGTAATTTTTCTGGATTTAAAGTGTGGTTTGCAAAGTGTAAATAACTTTGTAGACTTGACATTATCTTAACTTTTTAAATACATTACAAAAATATGATAATTAGAATGAATCATGAATCTGGAGGTATGTTTCTTTAATATTAATTAAAAGATGGTTTGGGTCAGAATTACATAAACAAATAGTCATTGTAATATTTTATTGCACTTTTTTTATGATACAATCTGGCATGGCAATAGGACAAATAAATATTGAACTACAAGCATATAACATTCTATAATACATACAGCTGTTAGTTTAGATAATATTATACTGTTTAATTGCAAATAACAAATCTATGTCTATGATCCAATAAAGCAATTAATAGTTCTATAGTATTTAAACCTATTCAATAAAAACTGTTTTATTAACCCTTATTCTGCTAGAACCAAAGGTGATTAGCCTTTGCAACCAGTTTAAAGCCAGGTCAGTCTGCATTTCTTAGCCTGGGTTCCAGTCTGTTGATTTTTATATGTGCTTCTGTTCGACATTGATATTATCAAAATCATGAACGTGTATGAAATAGAGCATATGTTATGAATAAGCAAAAAATATCAACGCCTGAATCCCAGGCTATGCATTTATGTGCACTCTGACAAAGATCCAAGTATTGAAGGCTTAGTGTTTTAAGATGTCCATTCGGATGTACCTTTCCAATGTTTATAGTTCTATGCAAATTCACTGAATGGCTATCCTATTGTTACTCCGAGATAATACATTATCACTGCCTGACCTGGTTTACCTCAGGGATAATACATTATCACTGCCTGACATGGTTTACACAAAAGAACACATGATTTTGTTTGTGATGCTGTTTGTGACCAATTGACCTAGCATTGAACAGAAAAGGCAGGGCTTAATTTTTCACTGCTAAAAACTGGAGAGGTCCAATATAATGTGTTCCTTCTACTAATAGGAACAAAGGTGATTGTTTTGTTGTATTTCAAGTCACAATTATACTGTACATTGTCATTTGATGACTTCCAAACTTTTCTGATGGAGGAAGATCTCAGGTGTCCTCCCCTTCATACACTGTTTCAGACATAATTGGGCACCTGTGCAAAACAAATGACCTTTTGTTAACTAGCTTACAGAAAAAAGAATAACACAAAAACTAAAGCTGTCATATTTACATTAAAACAAAGCTATGTACAGAAAAACACAATATAATAATAAATCACAACAATTTTCTGACAATGGTCCTTGGAGATCATATAAACAAAAAAAATTGGATTAACAAAATATTTATAAAATAAAATGAAAACATTCCATAATTAATATATGTATATCTACCTAATCCAACATCATATTGTGAGTCTGACAGATCCTTACATTTAACATGACCCAAAACTCGTCAGTAAGGTTTCATGTATAGAACACTTTCAGAACTTTATGACATAAAACATTCATGCAAAACCTTACAGTAACAGAAATTTTCAATGTTCACAAAGGGATTTATTCAGGTAATTTCAAGCTATAATTTTAATTTTTGAACAGTGGCAATAATTATGGTCCAAAAGACATGCATGAAGTTTCAGGAGATTACCTATATTACAAAAAAAATAAATAAGAAAATCCAAAATGCTACTAGAACAGCCCTTATATTCTTCAAAATAGCGAAACAGCTAAACTAAGTAGAACTCCGCGAGTCGGATGTGTTTCGCCTTGTGAACAATATAGTTTAGGAGAAATGGCCAGGACAAAAACGAAATAAGAAAACTAACGAGGGGCAATAGCTCAAAAAATAATAAGTGCAGAGCAGCAGTTCTATGCACTGCACTTCTTATCAATAAGATCTATCATTCTATGAAGTTTCAAGTCCATATCTTTTATAATTTATGAGAAATGGCCTGGACAAAAGTAAAATATGAAAATATATAAAGGGTAATAACTCGAAAATAAGAAATGCAGAGTACCAGTTCTTGTACACTGCACTTTTTCTTAATGAGATATATCATCCTATGAAGTTTCATGTCTATAGCTTTCATACTTGAGGAGAAATGGCCTGGACAAAAATAAAGTAAGAAAATTAACAAAGGGCAATAACTCTAAAAAATAAGAAATGCAGGGTACCGGTTCTTGTGCACTACACTTCTTCTTAATGAGATCTATCATCCTATTTCAAGTACATAGCTGTTATACATTAGGAGAAATGGCCCGGACAAAAATAAAGTATGAAAATTAACAAAGGGAAATAACTCAAAAATCAGGAAGTGCAGAGTACCGATTCTTGTGCACTGCACTTCTTTTTAATGAGATCTATCAGCGTATGAAGTTTCAAGTCCATAGCTGTTATACATTAGGAGAAATGGCCCGGACAAAATTAAAGTATGAAAATTTATAAAGGGAAATAACTCAAAAATTAAGAAGTGCAGAGTACCGGTCCTTGTGCACTGCACTTCGTGTTATTGAAAGAAGCATGCATACCAAGTTTGAAGTCAATCCGACTTAAAGTGACTGAGTTATGCTCTGGACAAGCTTTAGGGGACGCCGACGCCAACAACGCCGCCGTCAACAAAAGTAATCCCTATATGTCGCCTTTTCAAGGCGACACAAAAATGGGAAAAGCTTTGAAAAGTTATTCTTAGGTAAAATAGTTTCAGAAATCTACAATACTATTGTATTATTTCTGTGCCTTGATATTATAAAGCAAATAATTAAAATTCATACAATCCTTTGATGCAAACAATCCTATTTTGTTTAACAATGTAAAATGAAAAAGAAATTTAATAATTACAAAAAAAAAAATAAAAAAAAAGAAATAAAAAAGAAATGCATGAATCTGAACACACATTTGGTCCTAGGTAAAACAATAAAATTAGCTGAACTCAACAAAAGAACTTCATACCCTGCAAAAAATGCCCCTTATGTATTGGTCAAGATTATTGTAAATTACACTGCAATAAAAATTAATATTCAGCATAATATGGAGAAATGTTTATCAAAAAAATTACAATAACAAACCATAACAACAGCTGTCGATATGACAGCAAGCTAAACTATTTTTAGTGCTTGATAGTAAATATCAGACTGGATAATGTGGAAAACTATTTTTAGTAAAACATGAGCCTGGGTAATGTAGAAATTTTCTAAGTTTCAAAAAGGGCCATAACTTTATCAAAATCCATGTTTGGATAGTGACCTCCTATTTTGCTCTCAAACAAGTGTGTGAAAGTTTCAACCCATTTTGTTAGGTAGTTTTTGAGATACCAACTTGTACACAGAAACTTAACCAAAGTGTGGCCTCAACACCTGGGTGAGTACAATAGCAATGCTCTTTGAATAGTCATGCTAAAGTGAGAGAAACAGAAGTTTAGACTTCTATAAATTCCAAAATTTCAAACTTATTTTACCTTAGCTAAATACTACTTCCTGACAGCTGGCACCAATAATAATGTTTAACATGTATATATATTACACTGGCAGAGTGTTTTTTAAATATTCCATATCAAAATTTTGTAAGCATACATTTGTATGTTATTTGAACAAACTTTTAACCATATAATATAATTTTGACAATTAAAACTGTGATGAAATACCCTTGTAAAAACAGAATAATATGTCTTATGATCACAAGAAAAAATATATTTAATAGTTCTAGTATATAACAAAACTAATGGTCTAAAAAATATAACAGTTGATTACCTTAATCTTCCTTATCATCTTGTGTCTAAGACATTGTAGAATTAGAATCATACAGAAAAATAAAATGTTGTGCAATATTAAGTAATGTCATGCTATTTGGCACCATAAAATGAACCTTGCTTCTGATCCTGACTAAAATAAATTCGAAGAATGACACACAACACATAAAAATGACCATGTGTCATTAGATACCAGGAAAAAAATAAATCAAAGTAATGGATAAAAAATATCATACTTAATGAAAGGATTTCATTGTTTTGTAATGACCTTTTTTAATTAACTCTAGTACATCATTTAATAACCATTCTACTGACAAACTTACAAGTATGGCTTGAGGTAAAAACTAGAAATGTGTCCATAGGACACGGATGCCCCCACACGCCACTGTTCTGTCAATCTTATGACTCTAGGTCAAATATTTTTTGGACTACATGTGCCACAAGTTGAAAACTAAAAATCAACAAAGGGCCATAATTCTGTTAAATTTGGTCGCAGCAAAAATTCCTACCTTTACTACCATCTACTTAGTATATAATGAAAAAATCAACAAAGGGCCATAATTCTGTTAAATTTGGTTGCAGCAAAAATTCCTTCCTTTACTGCCATCTACACATTAAGGTTGTTCATCCTTGGAAGTTTAAGCAAAATCTGCCATCCAGTTTAAGAGGAGTTGCATTCACAAAATTTCTACATAGTATATAGTGAAAAAATCAACAAAGGGCCATAATTCTGTAAAATTTGGTCACAGCGAAAATTCATTCCTTTACTACCATCTTCACCTTAAGGTTGTTCATCCCTGTTAGTTTAAGCAAAATCTGCCATGCGGTTTAAGAGGAGTTGCTTTCACAAAATTTCTACATAGTATATAGTAAAAAAATCAACAAAGGGCCATAATTCTGTTAAATTTGGTCGCAGCGAAAATTCCTTCCTTTACTACCATCTACACATTAAGGTTGTTCATCCCTGGAAGTTTAAGCAAAATCTGCCATGCGGTTTAAGAGGAGTATTGTTCACAAAATTTCTACATAGTATCTAGTGAAAAAATCAACAAACGGCCATAATTCTGTTAAATTTGGTCGCAGCAAAAATTCCTTCCTTTACTGCCATCTACACATTAAGGTTGTTCATCCCTGTAAGTTTAAGCAAAATCTAACATGCGGTTTAAGAGGAGTTGCTTTCACAAAATTTCTACATAGTATCTAGTGAAAAAATCAACAAAGGGCCGGACGGACTGACGGACGGACGGACAAGTGCAACGCTATATGCTCCCACATTGTGGGGGCATAAAAAAAATCAAATAAACAGCCAACTTTTTTACCATCAACTACAAAGGCTATAAGTTTATTTTAAAACAAAAAAGCAATTCCACACATAATACCACAAAAGAAGCCATTTAGTATTTAAAAAAATACATGAATTAGAAATTGCCCAAAATTCGAATAAAAGGGATGAAAAAGATCTACAAATTTCTCTGGCTATAACTGAGAAAAGCTCACTCATTTTTCTAGGAACACAATATTACTCCACAATTTGTGTTAAAAGACAATCTCTCAAATACATGACATGGGAATTTTTTTTTCATATGAAATCATCTGAGTAATAATCAGCTGTTTATGGTCTATGATAAAATATCTTAAAAATGCTGTCCCTATAAACTGATACACTGTATCATGAGTCCACCTTCAGCTCCTGTGCCGAGGGTTGAACATTAATGAAGTTTTTGAGTCTGTATACAACTGAGCTACACACCAGTATCCAGCAAGTTACCCCTATACCTCCTGAAACATTAAAATAATACACCATCAACCAAATGGTCCAGTAAACAATGCTGATTAAAACAAATGAACAGGCTGTTTTCCTCTTTACTGACAAATCTTGCCACTTGCCCCTCACCGCTGTGGGTTCGAATCCCGACAGGGACTTTGGATTCTTACATGTGAGGAAGCTTTCCAGCTAGCTTAAGGAACGTCGTAGGTTCTACTCAGGTGCCCATTCATGCCTGAAATAATGCACGGAATGGCACCTGAGGTCTTCCTCCATCAGTAAAGCTGGAACGTCGCGATATGACCTATACTGTGTTGATGTGATGTAAAACCCAAAAGAAAAAAAAAAAAAAAAGACAAATCTTAATTTCAAAGTGGGCACTAGGGAAGAACAATGTATAGCAAGAACTTTCTGTACGTTTCTTTAAAGAAAATAAAGCTATATAATCGCAATCTGGATTGTAAAATTACTGTTTATATTTTGATTAAAAACAATATGGAGTACATAGAATAAAAGAAATTTATCAGTATATTTTATATAAAGCAAGTGGGGCATCCATGAAATCATTGCCAAACATACTAAAAAAGCAACAAAATTTTTGTTTTAGAATATCTTATTCTGATTACATATACAATATCTAGTGAATTACATAGACATTCTACATGATGTATGTTACAAAACTTTCAAGAAACAGTCATATGGGTATGAAAACAATATAAATAAACTCAAAACTATCTTTAAATTGTTCTAAAATATTTCATTAGATATTGCTTTATACACTTTAATTAATAAATTTTGTCTTAAATGTTAAAATAAGTGCTGTTATTGTACATGTACATGTATTACATAAATTTGACTTTTAAATATAAAATAAGAAATGAATAATGATTAATTTAAAATTAAATCAAACAAAACTCGACCTTATGATATCTAGACCAATGGTTTATGTTAAAAAATTAAATTGTACAATATACCTGAAACTCCAGTAGGAAATGATATTAATCTATTTATAGGATAAAACCACTCCTCAGGTAACATGTATAGTGGATCATTCTTGTAGTAAATAATCACAGATATCATTACTATACCCTGAAATATAGAAAATAATACATCTATAACTACAACATACATTGTATTATAGAAATTGTTATAACATCTTGTTTAACTTAGATTTTCTTACTAAATGACAATACATCACTCTGCTACCTTATTAATATTTTGTAGTTTTTGCATTCTCTGTTGCCCGATAGCTTCTATACACAAATGAATTGCCCCATACAAGTATAGTGACTAGAATCTCTCTTGAACTCTCCATTCATGAATCATATAAGGAAACCAGTTTTGACCCCATGCTGGGTACAGAATATTATCCTGATAATGAAATGAAATTCATCATTGTATACCAGCAGAAAAATCATCAACAAAAGATTTACTTACATGTAGAACATTGATCAAAATCTTCACACCCATTGAGAACATTGTAATCTTCTGTGACCTTGAAGAGCCTGAAAACAGAACCTATACAAATGTAGGTCAATTTCAGGAACAAGTGACAATCAATTCTCAAGATCATCTTTTTAATGGTACAATATGCTAAACTTGTAAGTAAGGCCCCCACGGTTACACGTTTAAATGATTACGTTTCGATTTTCATCCGTGAACGTTTACGTTATTTTTACCGTTTAATTGAAATGACCATATTGTCTTACAAAATATATTTATCATTGCCTGCGATCATGAATTCTATCAATTCTTAATATTCATTTATTCCAAAGTAAAAAAACTAAAAATGGGTGTTTACAACCCTTCAGACAGCATTACCGTGCAATAATCGCTTGTGACATAATACATTTTTGTAAAGTTGATTTTCCTGTGATCTAGCAAATGAACGAAATGGGGATACAATGCAGAAAATGTGTGCGGACTCAATCGAACATTATTTATTTGTACATGTATTAAAAAAGAAAGTAGAGTCATCATTTGGCGACTCAAATACATGGAAGAAGTACGGCATCGTTTCGGTTCTTAACAATCGTGTAAACGTTTACAAAAAATTGTAAACGTGGGAGCCTTACTTGTAAGTCATCTTAGCAAATCTGTAAACATTGTAGTATTTATGTAAATTAAACAAATAAAAAACAAGCTTGAAAATTCAGAGAAACTCTCTTTTTCAAATTCACTGCTAAATCAACACAAAATTGTATGATTATTATTGCATATATGATTTATAGCTTTTAAGAATCAGGCCATTTTGCTATAATCACAAGAAAAGTCCCAACTCCAATCCAAAATATACACAGGGGTTTTTCTCTGATATGCAAGAAATATACAGTTTGAAGTTACATGTGGTGAAAACATCAAGAAAGTTAAACTAACAATAATGTAAACCAACAATGAATTCACTGATGTTGTGTGCTTGAAGTACTAGCTATAAATACAGTATGTAAGTACTGTTGCTCAATGTTTCATGCAAACTTCAGTGTTCAATGACTGTACATGTCTCTATCTGAATAATACTTCTCCTCTTTGTCAGTCGTGAGTTTCATATTTTCGTTTTCTATACCATTTTCAGTAAAAACTTGCTATTGAGACCACTGAAAGGCTTCGCATATCTGGTTTTAATAGTAGATTGTATAAGAAGTAATTCAGCCAACATCCAATCAACCCTCACAATAGTAGTTTATCAACATTTCAAATTTCCAAAATGCTGTATTTTTCCATTTCAATTTAGGCCATTCTTACCAAAACAGCATGAAAAAGCCCTGAAAACTTTATGTTCCTTGTTTTAAAAAAAAAAAATTTCATTCCTACCCATTTTCTTCACTTGATCCACCAACCGGTCAATCTTCCTCTGTAGTTTCATATACTTGGCAAACTCATCTGACATACTGACAGCTCCTTGCTCTGCTTTCAGGTCTCTCACCTGTTGTCTCAAATTTAACTCTTCATCTGTCAGATGGATGAAATAACCACCAATCTGTAAGTCAAGAAAAAGTTATAAGTATTGGTAATATAATCATCACTAGTCTGGGGCGAATTGTCACTTAAGTGGGGTGAATCGTCAGTAGGGGGCGAATAATGTTATCAATTCTTAGTATTATACCAGTATACTGTGCTCCTTTTAATTCACGATACTTTACCCTTTGAAACAAGAAGGAAAACAAACAATGAAAATATGCCATAATGGTACAAACAATTGTCATATTAAACTGTAACATTTAGGTATTTTCTGCTGTATGACAAAAGGAAACAACAACTTATTCAATCAAAATCAGATTCAATGGGTCAGACATAGAACATGGGTCTGCAAATGACAAAACAGTATGTCATCATTTAAATCGCAATATTGAATAAATGGTGTAGGTTTTTTAAGGTTTCAGTTAAAATTACAATGTTAATTTGCTCAATTTTAATTATTAAAACTATCTTTACTTTGTAACTCAAAATTTATTTTTCAAACAAGCAAGAATGTTTATGCACACATATCAATGGACTATTGTGGCTTTGCAGAAATGAGTAAAATGCTGTTCTGATTTACGTAAAAAATCTATCGATTTAAAATATTTTACATAAAATTTTTTCTTCTTTGGGTGTATCATGACTAAAATATGTCAATTTTGACCACAGCATGTGTTTTTGTTGTTTTGTTGTCAAAAATAAAGTGATAAGGTTAAACAATGTTTCATTATTGGTTTTTAATTGGAGTTCATATGATTTGTAAATTATCTATTTGTGGAACAAATATTTTGAGCTGTATTGTACATAAAGTTGTGTGAGACCGTCATTTGAAGTGTCTTGTGTCAGAGATCCGCTTCAGGCTTCTGCAACATGGAAACAAACTTGAAAATTGATGATTTTTGGGAAAAAACTAGTAAATTTAATGTTTTTTCTCTGGATTTTACGATAATTTCTACAGTTATTTTGTTTTTTATCTGTTTTTGTCGCATTTCTTTTGTTATTTTTGCCCGAGATGCTTAATAGACAAGTTTTCGGATATTGACGGAAGTGACGAGCGTCGCCTTCATCCGTTTTAATTATTCCACGATAATACGAGAAACCACGATAATACGAGAAACAGGGATACTGCTGTGTCATCTGCAGAGTCGTACTTTAGAGAGTTTAACAAAGTCTGGAAAGTTTACATAACTAAGAAATAAGAGAGGTCCTAGGATAGAACCCTGTGGGACACTTGAAGACACTGGGATAGAAGTAGACGTGGAGCCATATACTACTACTGACAGTGACATATTGTCTAAGACTTAAACCTTGCATGGAGCTAAATACATGTATATCTGTGATCCTTGTAAGATTTAATATGCCTGAATGTACATGTACTTTTTGTTCAGTTGTATTTTTCAAGAATATGACTTAAGTTTCTGGCACAAACGAATCAGTTGGATACGACTTAGGAAAAGTATTTAAAGGGGTTTTAAATTAAATGAACATATTTAGCCAAAATAATGCAACATCCGAAAATATGTAAACTAGCATCGCTTCTTTTTTTACAAAGTTCAATCAAAATATAAAATCATACAACACTTCATACTTACACTTCTTGATATCTTAGATGAATATGAAGGCAGATAAGAGAACAAGATCACCAGAAGGAGTATAAATAGCATTACAAACATCTTGCCCTTTTATCGTTTCGTTTCGTTTCGTTCAAAGCCTTGATAATGGCCGTGTTGTCACTCCGGTATTTACAGCTAAACTCTGGTATTTCCGATTACGGTAAAAACTCTCAAGTAGGGTTACAATATAAAAAAAAAAAAAAAAAAAAAAAAAAAAAAAAATTAAAATCTTTTGGATGATTTGACAAATTCATTTGCAATGTTTGACAACTCTTGTCTGTGGTCTTTGAATTGGTCTTCTTGTATGTCTGACAGCAACAGTTCTGTTGTAAATACACTAATTCCAGTCTTTAGGAATATTTCTTTCTTCAGGTTTTCTCTTGATGTCTCGTACAGGGTACAGTCCTCTATAAAATGTGTAACTGTCTCCACTTGTCCACAATTACATAGACTTGTGTTTTTAGCCCCAATCTTGTTCAAATAATCATTGAGACAATATCCACTTTGTAGTTGCAATAACTGTCTTTGGTTGCTCAAGCCATGGAAATTAATTTTTTTGGGTTGGACTTGAGGCTTGAGTCCATAGAGATGCCTGCCAGTTTCAACAATTTCCCACCTTCTCTGCCATTTAATGCGGACTGATTCTCTCGCTGAATGGCGAATGTCACTTTGACTTGTTACAATGAGTAAATCTTCTGTTGCCATTTCCTCAGCTTCTTTTGCTGCTTCTTTTGCAAGTCTGTCAGCAATATCATTCCCTTTTATGCCAGCATGACCAGGAGTCCAATCAAAATAAACAGTAACATCAGCTAATTCAAGCTCTTTCCTCAACTGGAGTATCTCTGTTGACAGGAATTTGTGTGTCTTATTTTCCCATCCAAGATCAATAATTCCAACAGCTGACTGACTATCACTAAGTATTTTTATCTTTTTTATTTCAAATCTTCCAATCTCAGTAAGTAGGGCTTGAAGTGTTATTTTAATGGCAACCAGTTCTCCTACTAGAATTGATGATAATTTTGATACTGGTTGTTTCAGTTCTATAACTTCTGTGTTTGGAAGAAGAATGCAGGCTCCAGCACCACATGGACCTGGATTTCCTCTACAGGAACCATCAGTAAATGCTACAGCTGTTTTGGTATCTACATCAGATAGAAGTGATGAGATGTGTTGTCTTGCATCTTCTTCTTGTTTTAGAGTTCTTGATTTGGAAGATCCTAGATTGTTCCAGTAATCTGGTCTGGTTCTAGATGGTTGCAGATATTCAAGGTATGAAAACTCTGGTTCAATACTGTTCAGTGAAATGGTGGTTAATGATTTCATGTCCTCTATCTGTGTGAGCATGCAAAAGAATGGAGATTGGAATTTTTCTCTGACTTTTCCGTATCTATCTTGACAGCTTTTTAAACTTTTTGCTATGTTTTGCCTAATATCTTTTGCCATTATTTTCCCGCATTCTCGAACACTCAGTTCTTCTCGCCTCAAATCAAGTGGAAGAACTCCAGCCAATACTTCAACTGCATCTTTACTGGCTGTGTTGTGCAATCCAAGGCAGTAAGCTAAACCTTTCCTTTGTATCTTGTCCAGGGGCTGACAGTTGGCAATCTGCCAAATAGGGACTGCATACTCCAATTGAGGTAGAACCAAGCTTGTATAAAGATTTATCATATTTTTAACACTGATCTTCTCTGTTTTGGCTACTGACATCAAGGAAGCCAATGCTTTAGTGCCTCTTCTTTCAGTGTATTCTATATGTTCTTTGAATGACAATTCAGAATCTAAAATAACACCTAAAATTTTTGATTTATCTTTCTGTTGCAATGCTTTCTTGTTTAAGCAGATCTCTATTTGACCTAAGTTTTCTTTTTTCCTATTAAAGATGGTATATTCAGTTTTATCCAAATTTAATTTCATTCTCCATTTCTCTGTCCATGTGTTAATTGTTACTAGGTCTGTATTGATTATTTTTTCTAGATCATGTATATCATTTCCAGACATCCAAATAGTCCCATCATCTGCAAATTTGATACTATTGCTTTTTATGTTTTGGAATATATCAGTTAGGTAGAGGTTGAACAAAAGAGGGGAGAGCACTGAGCCTTGTGGTAATCCAACAGAAGTTTGGAAGGTATCTCCCATTTCACATGCTACTACACATCTTGCTGATCTTCCAGTTAAGAAGTTGGACAACCATTGCCACATTTTCCCACTTATTCCCAATCTTTGTAGCTTAACAAGCATACCATCCCTCCATACACTGTCAAAGGCCTTCTCCAAATCTAGGAATACTGCTAGTGTGTGCTTTTTTTCATTAAATCCATCAAAGATACTCTGCACCAGTCTTAACAGGGCTTGTGTAGTGCTGTGATATTTCCTAAAACCTTCTTGTTCTTCGTCTATGATGTTCTTGTGTTCTGAGTATGCATATAATCTGGCATATACTATTTTCTCCATACATTTACCAAGGACACTTGTCAAGCTTATAGGTCTGTAGGATCCTGACTTATAATAGGACTCTTTTCCATGTTTCTTTAAGAATTTCACTGTTGCTGTTTTCCAGGCCTGTGGAAGAATACTGGTATCCCAGGAGTGTTGAAAAATATATGTGATGGCTTCAAGAAGGTGGTTATTTGAGTATAAAAGTAGCTCTGTGTATATTTTATCTGGTCCAGGTGCTTTATTTTTCTTTAAATGCTGGATAGCTGCCTCTACCTCTTGAATTGTAATAGATCTATTAAGGAAACTTTGACTTTCATCTTCTTCTGTATCATGATGTTTACTTTGTCTGATGTTAAACAATTCTTCTTCAATATGTTTCTTGAAATCTTCATCAAAAGTGACATTTTGTAGATGTTTATCACTGAAAAAGGTCTCTTCTAGCAGTTTTGCCTTTTCTTTTCTTTCAAAAATCACATCACCATTACTGTTAACAAGGGGGAGTATAGTATCTACATCTTCTACTTGATAGGATGTTAAACTCTTAAAGTACTTCCATTTCTCTTTTGGAGTATTACACATATTTATGTTTTCACACAGCATATCAGCCCATTCATCTTTAGCTTTTTCAATTTCCTCTTCATATTTTTGCTCACATTCTTTCAATTTTATTAAATTTCTGGGAGTTTGTCTTTGCTTGAAAACTTTTTTTAATTTATTTAGCTCTGTTTTTATAATTTTGACTTCTTCGTTGATCCAGGGTTGGTGCACTCTCCTGTTGCTATATTTCACAATTTTTTTGGGTACAGCTTCAGCCATACAATTATGAAAAATTTCTAGAAAACATGAGTATATATCTTCAGTGTTTAAATTTTGAAAATTTTCAGATTTCCATGAGGAAAAACTCGCTTTAGTGCTTGCCTGCCATTTGAGGATGTCCATTTCTTTGATACAAAAGATTTCTTTTTCCACAGGTCTCTGATTACAGTAGTCATCTATGTCCAAAAAAACTGCTATATGGTCTGATCTAACATTTTCTTGATTTAAGGTTTGACACAGTCTAATATCTTTGTTTAAATGTGGCTTAAACATTTAAATTTTAATTCAGAACTGGCACAGTCTAAAACGCAGACGCATTAACAAATTATAAAAAACGCGGATAGGGGTAAAACGAGGACAAGTGACAAACGATGTTATTTGTTTATGTAATAGATATGTTATAGAATAATGCACGGTTCGAGTCCATATGCATAGACCGATAATCCTGAGTGATAAATTACAAAGTATTTAGATGTTTAGTCCCATATTATTTCAATTTATTTGTACAATATTGCATGAAGAATTAATAGATCTACAATAGATCGATCAGTGTCTATTTCCACTCTAACATCAAAAGAGAATTGATAAAAATATGTTGAAATACATTGAGCATAGACGTCATTTGTTTATTGACGTCATATCTGGCGTCATATGACGTGTACGCAATATACCGTGTAATATTTAATGCACTTGACAGCCCTATCGGTTTGATAGGGGGATATTGTGACGACAACGTGTTAGAATTATGTTTTTAAGAATCTTTAAACTGAATTCAAAAACTTATAAGTAGTACTGGGCACTTTACTTACAGCGTTTAGTAGGTTTTTATTTTATCAACTCATTAATTTTATTCTTTGTCCGTTGAGGGTCCGGTATTTCGACATGGTGATCCTAAATTCGACACCCTGATTAAGGTTAAAGAAATACATTAAAAGTTCAAATAATATAAAAGTAAAATGAATTCCAACACTATTAATAACACATTACGACCCAAACATGATTATGAAAGAATATTGCATTAAAAAGCACGATCAGTTTATCTCTTGAATCAGTAAAAATGTGTATGTGTAGATACATTTTTTGTATGTCTTACACACATAATTTAATTATAGAGAAAAGGGTTATTTATTAATCTTTGAAGCTGGGAATTCAAATTACATTGTGCCAACAGTGCACATTATGTACCACGGACAGGCTGTATAGCGGAAACATTTCTTTTTTAGATTAGTTCTTAGTTTAAATCATAGGCCTACTTTGAATACATAATCGGTAGAGTCCATGGATACTCGTCATGCATTGATTATATAGAGGATATTTGTTTAGTTCAGTGTAAGATCGGAATATATTTCACCGAGTGAGCATCAAAAGGTATATTTCACGAGTGGCGCAGCCACGAGTGAAATATGAACTTTTGGTGTTCACAAGGTGAAATATATTACAATCTTACACTAAACTAAACAAATTTTCTTTTTATTACATGCAAAGAAACGTTTTAAAAGACATTTAACCTAATACTGAATGAAAAGCGCGCCAAATAATAATACAACGTGACGTCATTTACAACGTCACGTCATTAAGTTGGTACCCAGTACTGTGCACGCTGGTATTTCACTGAAACAACGTAAGGGGCTTAAATTCAAAACAGTGAAATTATCAAAGTGGTAATTTCACTGTTTCAAACAGTGAAATTACCAGTTTTATATCACTGATATATTTCTATAAACCACCGAAAAGCATGTAATAAAATTAATTATGTTACATTGTATCTCTACAGTAATGGCCCAAAGTCAAAGCAAGTCTGCCACTTAACTAAGGGAGTCGGTGTAGCGTGTAGCATAACGGTATTAAAATAACCGATACCGGCATTTTTTTCTTCAGGTACATAGTCTTCTAAAATGTTTTTCTTCCATACATAATGATCTATATGACTTGTTAATTTGTTTACTTCATAACAGATAAGCGGATAACAAGTAGTGTTGCAGCCAGCACGCACGTACTGTTTGGATTCAAACCAGTTGGTGCATTTCCTCAGGGCTCTCCTCGGTATGCCAAATATCATTGCTGTTTTTATCTTCTTTGATATCACACCACTTTGAACCATAGAAAGAGCGTTGATCAACTTGGATGGCGAACATCTGCAATATTTCTTTTGACATGTATACACAATTAGGCATCAGTATGTAATTTTAAACACTGATATACCTATTGCTGAAGTTCATTTTAACCAAATACGTTGTACCTGTTTTTCAGAATAAACAACATCACGAAACATTACCATTACATGTTACTAATGAAATGTATTTTTTATATGAGAATGTATTAATTAGCGACATCGAACAACGTGTTACTACGGAGTACTTAACATTTATATACTCTAATTAATACTTATTTGTCCACAGCCAAATGCAACATGGAATGTCATATTTGGTCAGTTTGATTTAAGTTAATTCTAAATTGGTTTGATTCTGTCACATAACGAATCTCCTTTTAAATTTGGTTCCTAAGTTCGACACTCACGCCTTGGCGGGAAATTTAACTCTAGACAATCTGTTGAAGGTCCAGTTTGAAGAAATTCAATAAAGTTGTTTAAAAAGTTAACAATAGTATAATTTGACAAAAATTAAGTAGTATTTCTACTGTTACATAGGTCAACCTCTTATGTTCGAATTTTCGAACCACACTTTCGTACAAACCAATGTAAGCGAAATAGCGTTGCCTATGTGGTCTGATTTTTTATGACGTCATCAATTGAATGATGGACGTAAATATTGATAAAAATATTAGTTAAAACGCTTAATTTTAAGAGCTCATGGTGTTTGTAAGAAAGGTGTAGAATTAATGGGTATGTCAAATAAAGGTGCTATTGCTCTAGTAGATCTTAACTTGTAAAAAAATTGAAGATGTAGATCTATGTGAGAATAGCTTTTTTTATTATTTGATTCAAACAAAACTTACACAAAACCTGTCTGAAAGCAATCTTACACAATGACTGGTCTGAGAAGTAACTCCGACACATAGACAACCCTGACACTTGATAAATATAATTGTTATAACTATGTTTTTCAACAAACAAGCACATGGTCACCTAATAGTATAGGAGCAGGACAGAATGTTACCTTTCGGAGTTCTGTATCTTGAAGGATCAAAATTCATTTGCAACTCTGATAGCAAAATTGATGCCAAAATAGACATATTACCTGTGAAAGCTTTTATTTTGGTATTTGTCATGAAGTTTAATTCAGTGATTGTCAACTCAGTTTGTTGGAATCATGGCCTCAGCGTAAGTATTGGCTAAGGGTCATCAATTCTATATAGTCTTACTCTAAAATAGGGAAAATTAAAGTCTTGTCAGAATCCAAAATGCCTTCAGACTGGTTGCCCTCTGACATGATAATGTAGTGGTTCATTGCTCAGTCTGCATACATGAAATACCCTAGGATAAAAATTGGATATGTTCCAGGAATCTCGATGAGCCGCGTCACGACAAAACCAACGCAATGCGTTTGCGACCAGCATGGATCCAGACCAGCCATGTTGTTCGCTATATATTTCTCTACTTGTTATATGGTTTGTAAGCGAACAGCATGGATCCTGATCAGACTGCGCGGACGCTCATATGTGCTTGTCGAAATCTGTATGCCGAAAACGGATGGTTGATTAAAAGATATTAAAATGATTTAAATTATAGTGAAGGATGTTATATTCATAGTATACATAGTTTTGTGACAAATATGTTTCAGCTTGCAATACTGTAAAATATTAATATAGACAGAAAAAAACAAGTATCTTTTTTACCAAGTTTTATTTTCTACTACATGTATAACAACGACAACAACATCATGAGTTAGAAAAATTTATGTACAATGTAAATGATATAGTTCAATTTTATCACAACTTTTCACAGCACATGTACCAGTATCTCATGATTATCATACAGTTTGCACAACCAGTAAAATGTAAGACTTAATATAATTTGTGAATAGTTAACTCAGAGAAACTGAAACAAAATAACTAACTTTTAACGCTATGAAGTAACAAAACAAAAAAGCAAAGAAAAAAACAACAAAACAAACCAGACACTTACTTTATCATTTCCTTTTCATCTTGTTTCATGATAAGTGTATTAACCCTTTACCTGCCCTCCTTTGAATTTGGCACAGTCTAAATTTCAAGGAATTTGAATGAAATAGTACAAAAATTGAGCTACCAACAGTTTAAGAGTCTGGTCAGAGTACATGGATATAAATGCTAGTCTGTCTCTATATTGGTAGCAAAGGCTTATATAAAATAACTTTAGGTTTCCGCAGGGTAAGGGTTAAATCTAGTCTATATTCATAAGAAATAGTCTTGCCTTTATACAGAGTTGTGCCCCTTTAAGGATCAATATTCATCCGCATGAAATGGAAAAAAATGGCTATATAACAGGCTAATTTAACATAAGTCATCATTGGTCTTTCACTGAAATAAAACAGTAACAAACTGGATAATTCATTACGGTCCACATGAAATTGCGAATCAAAAATTACAATACTGAATGTTAATTTTGATGCACAAGCAATACAACAAAATACTTATCTATCGGTACATTATTTTCATATCAAAATACATACCACGGACATCAAGTCATAAAACACATAGTACCAGCTATGTATAAAGTATATGACATGTCACATATTAGGTCCACAATCATAAATTTATTCTCGTCTGTATATTTAAATCAGCTAAAACAAAGATAATCTGATCTGTTTTCATCATAGACTAGTTAAGCATAATTCCATGTTTGTCTAATTGTTAATTTGTTATTACCAATCCTAGCATATATGAATTAAAATAACACTAAAGTATTGTCACTAAAACCTTTCAACTCTAAAAACAATTTCTTTTCTTCTGTATCATAGTAGGAACAAGTCAAAAAGACTTCTTTTAGTACCACGATATCAATCTAATGTATATTACACAGCTACTTAGTTTTCTTAAGACGGTTGCTAAGAACATTAACAGTTTTACTTCTGACTGACTATTCCAGATTCAACTATTCCATTGACATTTAATATAAGAAAAGAACTGGAACTAGGAGGTTGATCATAAATAGCATTTGCTTGTGGCTCATTCATTAATATCTTTTCTAACTTTTTAGCTTCCATTAAAAAAGGGCCTTTTTTTCTTTTAATTTATGGTTCCTGAATTATCTGTTCTTGCTGAGTATTTGACTCTCCAACATCTTCTTGCCTAATCCCTCGTTGCTCAACTTCATTTTGATTAATCCCTGACTCTACCATTACTTTCGTGATTTCTGACCCTTCTATTTCTTGCCTTATTCCTGAGACTTCAATTTCATGACTGTTTCCTGCCCCTTCCATTTCTTGCCTGCTTCCTGTTCCTTCCATTTCTTGCCTGCTTCCTGACCTTTTAATTTCTTGCCTGCTTCCTTCCATCTCTTCCCTGCTTCCTGACCCTTCCATCTCTTCCCTGCTTACTGGCACTTCCATTTCTTGCCTGCTTCCTGACCTTTCAATTTCTTGCCTACTTCCTTCCATCTCTTCTCTGCTTCCTGACCCTTCCATCTCTTCCCTGCTTCCTGCCCCTTCCATTTCTTGCCTGCTTCCTTCCCCTTCCATTTCTTGTCTGCTTCCTGTCCCTTCCATTTCTTGTCTGCTTCCTGTCCCTTCCATTTCTTGCCTGCTTCCTGTCCCTTCCATTTCTTGCCTGCTTCCTGCCCCTTCCATTTCTTGCCTGCTTCCTGTCCCTTCCATTTCTTGTCTGCTTCCTGCCCCTTCCATTTCTTGCCTGCTTCCTGCCCCTTCCATTTCTTGCCTGCTTCCTGCCCCTTCCATTTCTTGTCTGCTTCCTGTTCCTTCCATTTCTTGCCTGCTTCCTGACCTTTTTATTTCTTGCCTGCTTACTGACCCTGCCATATCTTGCCTGCTTCCTTCAATCTCTATCCTGCTTCCTGACCCTTCCATCTCTTTCCTGCTTCCTGACCCTTCCATCTCTTTCCTGCTTCCTGACCCTTCCATCTCTTTCCTGCTTCCTGACCCTTCCATCTCTTTCCTGCTTCCTGACCCTTCCATCTCTTCCCTGCTTACTGTCACTTCCATCTCTTCCCTGCTTACTGGCACTTCCATCTCTTCCCTGCTTACTGGCACTTTCATTTCTTCCCTGCTTACTGGCACTTCCATTTCTTGCCTGCTTCCTGACCCTTCCATATCTTGCTTGCTTCCTTTAATCTCTTTCCTGCATCCTGACCCTTCCATCTCTTCCCTGTTTCCTGACCCTTCCATATCTTCCCTGCTTACTGGCACTTCCATCTCTTCCCTGCTTACTGACACTTCCATTTCTTCCCTGCTTACTGGCACTTCCATTTCTCGCCTGCTTCCTGACCCTTCTATTTCTTGCCAGCTTCCTAACCCTTTGATTTCCTCTCTGATCACTAGCTCCCCATTTTCCTCTATTTTGGTATCTATGTCAGTATTTTGATCAAAGCCTGCTTGATCATCATCTTTGGTGATCTCTGGTGTTTCACTTATATCCACTTCTATGGATTCTGGAAGAGAATTTACATTCTGACCATTAGAACTACTGATTTCTGTTATACTTCCTACTGGCAAAGGTATCTGATCTCTTTCACTAGACTGTGTGTTAATACTTAAACATATACTGTCATCACCATATGTCAATGCCTGACTACTACCAGGCATTTCTACATCTGTTCCGTTACCTGAATCAACTTGTGAACTAGAACTGGTAGAAGGAACTTGTTCTACAGATGCTTGCTGGGTACCACTTGTACTAGGCACCTCAGTGTCTGACCTTGGGCTTGAACTCTCTTCCTCGTCCAAGCTGTGGACCCCTTCTCTATCTTCCTCCTCTATCTGCTGGCTAAACAAGCTGGACAGGTCACCAATTGTTAAACCACTTTCCTCTGACTTCTCTAAAACACTATGCTTGTCCATAGACTGTAGGAGAACTTTCATTTTCTGCTCTATAGTATGACGGACCAAAAACCTATGAACATGTGTTGGTCTGAAAATTGAAATCAAAATTATGCAATTTAATAACTACTTAATTACATGTACAATAAGATATCATATCCCTTTTGGGAAGAAAAAAGTGTTTAATTTTAATTATTTAATTAATATTGATATTTATTGTCTAAATAATTTTCAAAGTGCAATAAAATCAAAACTAGATGGTAAAAGAGTATTTAATATTTTACAAGAGCAACTTTTGAGAAAATTTAGGGAAACTTTGTAAACAGGTACTCATTTTAGTAGATTTTAAGGATTTTTTTAAAATAAGACTCCCTAAGTAGGAAATTGGTTAATCATGTGTTAAAAATGGGTGGTGTAGGGTAACATTTTTCATCCATCCTAATGCCCACTTTGATGATTGAAGGATTTCACCATTATGACTTACTATTGAGCAATTTGGTAGAAATTGGTCAATAATCATTCATATGACGAAATACTTCAATCATCAAAGAGGACATTAGCAATAATAATATAAATGAACTAGCTTACTTAGTTTGGCCTATACGATGCACCCTGCCTATAGCCTGTAGTTCCTGTGCTGGGTTCAGTATTGGTTCTACAAGTAGCACATTGGTGGCCTCTATGAGATTTAAACCATTAGCTCCTGAGTGGACTGGTAACAGCAATGTAGAAACATCTTCATCCTCTTTAAATGATGTCAAGTTTTCCTGTAAACCAGTCAATAATTATATGCAATCCTCCCCATCGTCATATATGATTTCAAATATTTATTTCCAAAATAATGCTACTTGATTTATATATAAGTAAGATATACCGAGATGATGCTACATTAGATACAGTTTAAAATCCAATGTCTAAAGTCACATCTGTTGAACAATTTACTTTCTGTAGACAATAACTAGTTTTCCATGAATTACAGAAAATCATACCAATATTTAAAAAAAAAAAAATTCTTAATTGATTACATTGGATAAAAGAGTTCTACAGCATATTCTAACACTATCGGATTTTTTTCTATATAGACAAAGAAGGCCGGAAGCGTGCATTATTCTACAACAATGCACTCGCCGTTCTTATTATTTCCCTGTGTATTTTCACATTGAAGGCGCCATTTTGTTTAAAAAATCTGATAAATTAAAACAATTTTTGTCGAATTTTGTTGTGAAAACTATCTAGAATGAAAGAAAATGGTCTAACTAAGAAAATCAATCCGAACACCAATATCTTTAATTCAGTCGTTAACGCTGTACAGACGTTTTAAGTGTTGTTTACGTGACGTCACAATGTAGCGCCAAACAGCACGTGCAAAACAATCAAATCAAGTACGCTATTTTAATGTCGCAAACGAGTTTAGTTTTACATTTATTTCACTTTTAATAATTTGTATTTCGCTTGGAAAATTATAACCTGAAATAAATAAACAAACAAAGTTGTATCAACGTTTTCAAAATTCGTTATTTTCAAAATGTTTCTATACACGGTAGATTTAACGACAGTTTTTTTTCAACCCACTGGAACGGCCTTTAAAGAACGTTTCTATTGGAAACTCTGAGGCGAAAACAAATTCAACCACCAAACATAAAGTCCAACGTTATAATAATAATTATATTTTTTCTTGACGTGTTAGAATGGAAATAGATATCAATTCTTCGTGCAGTATTGTATAATAATGCACGTTTTTCGTTCAAATGCTTTGTAATTAATCACTCAGGCCTATCGGCCTTCGTGATTATATTACTACGCATTTGAACTCAAACCGTGCATTATTCTACAACAATGCACTCAGAATTGATATCTATTTCCTAAACATAACTTTCCAAGAAGATTGGCAATATCAGTGTAATTAAAAAATGTATATTTACTTTATCTCGATGTTATCAACAACAGTGTCTATTCTAGGAGGGGCGATTGGGGGATTCACCCATAATTTTGAAAATTTACCCCTATTTTTTGAGAGGAAGGGGGAAAATTTTACATAGACAAAGAAGGAAAAAGATCAACAAATGTAATAAATTCTCAATTTTTGATAAAACCCCCCCCTGTTTTTCGAATCCTAGAATAAACACTGCAACAAACATGTTAGGATAGATTCATGAAGTACACAATGTGAAATTGTGTAATGGACGGGTCATGCTTTGAATTTTGGAATAGTCTAAAATGTAATGGGCTTGTTCAGCTCCTATTTTGAGATTTGTCAATTATCACTTATAGGGATATCAAGATGACAAGTTAATGCTATTCCACCAGCATAAAAGAGCTTTCTAACCCTACTGTATAATGGAGACAATGGCCAATCACTGAAGGTTCTAGCAGGGTAAGGTTTTAGGAATTTTGATTTTGAAATACTGTCATTAAAGCAGCAAACAGAAAAGCAAAAGGTTACTGCCAGGATAAAATGATAACCTGATTCTTTACTGGTGAAAATTATTTACTATTATTGCTTCTAGTAAGTTTAAGTACAAACAGGCAAACTACTAAGAAAGTTTTTAATACCTGAAATTTTCCACTGGAGTACAGGGCCTTGTATTTGATGTCATTTTCCTCTAGAGCTGTTGCTATAACACTTAGTACATCAATCCACTGAAATATTTACAGAATGATGATATATTAATGTGATTTATATTCATTAACTTAAACAATGTTTTCAAGTGGTATAACATGTTTCACAGAGATAAAATAAGTTTCTGAAAAGTACAATGATTATTTGAAATGCATAGAAATATTTCTAGAAGATATAGAATATTTTTGAAAGGTATAAATTCTATTAAATTGTTTCTGAAATGCATAAAATATTTCTGAGTATAAAGTATAATTTTTTAGGGTATAAAGTATTTCTAAAAGAAATAAAATGTTTCTGTAATGTTTCCGAGAGGTAATAATACTTTGGATAGGTATATATTATTTTGAGAGGTATAGTTTTTGAGAGGTAATAATTATTTTAAATCTATTAATTTTTTTTAGAGGTATTAAACATTCTGAGCTGTATATTTTCTGGGAGGTATATGGTTGTTCTGGGAAGAATAAACTGTTTCTGAAAGGTATAAATTCTAATGTTCTTGGGGGTTTGAAATATTTCTGAGCTTGTTAATATTTCTGAGGGATAAGAAGTATTTCAATATGTATCATAATCTTACTGTAGAGAAGACCAGTGACTTGGACTTGGGATCTTCTCTCTGAATATTCAACAAGCACCTGACAACAGCCTCCACCTTTGTAGAATGACTTCCCTGGAAAAATCACATATTCATTACTCTGATTATTTGTAAAAGGAAAAATCTGTAAATATTTGTAGAATTAGAAGAACTTGAGCTGTCAGAAAGACAGCATGCCACACTATTGTCCGTGCTTGAGAGTGAAACAAGAGCCCAGATAATGCAGAATTTCCTAAGTTTAAAAAGGGCCATAAATCTGTCAAAATCCATTTTAGTTATGGGCCTTACACAATGACTTCCTTTGATGCTCTCAATTTAGTGTACAAAATTTCAATCCATTCCCTTCAGTACATTTGGAGATACCAACTTGAACACAAAAACTTAACCAACATGTAATATTGATGACGACAATACGACACTAATGCCAATGCCAGGGTACGTACTATAGCTCTTCCTATTCTTCAAATAGTTAAGCTAAAGAATAGTTTTGTCTGTGTGAAACCTATAAAAAAATCTCAAGTCCTGCCAGGTAAACCCACAGCATGTGTTACCAGTCACAAAACAAAAAGCAGAAAAAAAAATATTTTTTTTTTCATAACTTTGATGAACAATGAAGAAAGAAATTGCCTATTATCTAATAATAGAAATCATGGTGTTCCTTCGTCCTATCTATTTCATAAAGTTATATATAACAGAAATACCTTAACTCCAACATCGTCTGGCTGAAGTTCCCTACTAGTCATCACATAAGATATTTCACCTTGATGTGTAGCTTGTCTACATATTGCACATTTCACAGAGAAATTTCTACGACCAAAGCTAGCTCTCTCTACTAGTATACGTATACATTCTATACAGTAACAATGTCCGCACTGCATGACACTCCACTACAAGTAAAATATATGTCAGTTAATAAAAATATTATGAACAAACCACATACAAGAATGTTTTCCTATACTGAAATATCTAAATTTTATCATATAAACTTATAAAGCGCGCTTAAAAACATAGAAATGACCATAGGAGCATCAGTATGCTTTATGTTGATGGAAACATAAACTGAACTGTCAACTGGTACTTTTTAATGTTTATATTATTTGAACCATTAAAAGGGAACAGCAAATAGTTCAAGATCAGTAGCCTTAATCAATAGACAATGTTTTAGATTTTGTGCTGCTACTTGTAATGCGCTTTTGCGTGTAATATTTGTTTATGTAATTAACGTTATGTCACTTCCTGTGTATGTAAATATTCAAAGTTAATAAAGGAAACAAACTGAACACAACACATTGTTCACTCACAATCACAGTCCTCACAGACTGCTAAGTCATTTCTTTAGCTGCTAGTCATTTATTAATTACTAGTATTTGTTAGAGTTAAGGTAGCACACCCCTAATGGCCACTATAAGGAACTACAAAATCAACAACATAGTTGAGTCGTATTCCTTTAAGGACATCTGTATGCAAAATTTAAACAAAATTTACTGTGCAGTTTTGAAATGATAGACATTTTCTGGGGTTTTTTTTCTGGCACAATAAAGATACTATCTCTTACATGTACTTTAAAAGGTCAGGGCTTGGACATTTTTTTGCTAGAGAGAATCAACACGCACAAAATCAAAGAAAGAAGTAGATGACTGCTTGAATTGTATATCATATAGAAGAGAGAATCACATGTGAATAGTGACTGAATACCTCTTTTCCTAATTCTTGCTGGCAGATAGGACAAGGCTCAGGATTTTTTCCATCTTTATTATTAGTCTGGTTCTGAAAAATAGGTTATAAAAATGTATCTTATTATTTAGGCAGCCTTCACTGAGTGACAATAACCAATTATAGCTAAGTAACAACAAACTGATTTTTATCTAAAAGCAATGAATATTGAAATGCATTAATCTATAAATATAACCTGACAATATGGATATACTTTAGAAAATTTTAAATCATACATAAACTAACAAAATACAATATGATTGAAACTTGTTTAACTTAGATATGGTGACAAAATTATCATTGATGCCACTAGTCCATACTTTTAGGAACTGAATAAAGTAGAACAAAACAAATCGAAAATTTGTTGTTGGAAACGGTATAAGCAAAACATAATTGAGCACAATGAAAGCACTCTTACACTAAATAATTTGAGATATGTCATGGAAAATATGGCAATAAAGTATTTACACTTACTTTAGCTAGATTTGTTAGGTAGAGTAATTGCCCTTGTTTTTTCTTTAATTCTCCCTGAGCAATAATTCTGTCAGATGCTAACTTCAATTTATGTTGTGATAACTGAAATATTATAAAAATAACATTATCAATTCAAGAACCTTTATGCATTATAAAAATTATAAAACATCATAAAATGATGAAATTATATATTTGTTGAAATTGCATGCATGCATCTTCACCAGAACTGCTCTAATTTCATAAATAACAAAATTTCTGCTATGAACATAGTTTCAGTCCACATGCATTCAAAGATCAATTTTTTTTACATTGTATTGGACTATGCTGAACATTTTTTACTAAATAACATCTCAACTGACCTCAGATTTTTCCAATATATTCAGTTGAGGTGTTTCTGGGATGGGCTCCTCCGGGAGGCGGAGTCGAAGTCTTGTAGTAGACATGTCTAACTCATCAAAATTTGCCACATACTCCTTAATACCTGCCCAGTGAGCTCTCAGTTTCTGTAAATATTCATAACATATATCATAGACCAGACCATGGGACACTTTTAGATATAAATAAAATATCTCAGCATATGAAAACAAATTGTGTTTGACTCTCTAGCACTAGCAGTCTCCATATCTTTACATTACTTGTGATTTTTGTGTTTAATGTTGCATTCTTTTTTTTCTGTTCTGTATAAAATAATTAACATAAAGCATATATTTATGATAGCTGTACATTTTAGTTTTAAATGATAACACTCTAAGAGGTTTGTATAAATTCATTATCTTTACTGAACAGACCAAGTCAAACAAAGTGCACAATTATATTTATTGTTTTTTGTTATCATTGTACTTAAGGCATTCCCATTTCTTTTTTTTTAATTTTAAAGTACTTCTTTAAAATAGAAATACTAAGGATTTTGCATAAATCAGTAGTCAACCTGTTGCATTCAAAATTAATAAATGCATGCTTACTAAGCCGTTTAATGGTACAGTATAGACTGTCGAAATTTTGTCAGTTTGTATTTCCCACTATTACCTTAAATTCTTTCTTCATAGCTTCTATAAGTTTGATATGAGTTGTCCCATTTTCTATCAATTCTTCTGATACTGAAATATGGAAAATCATAATCATCTCAATAATCTATGACATACATACAATACAAGTATAATAAACTTATGGGAATATGAGTATAACAAAGCTATGAAAAAAGGAACTTGTATCATAAAATTATGGAAATATCAGTAAGAAAAACCTAATGGAAAAAATGCATCTGAATAAAATCAGCTTCAAAATAACACTATGCATTAGGATCTGACGACCACCAATAGATTGACACATTCTCTTTCAAACAGCCAATCATCAGCAAGATTTCACAATTTTGAAAGCAATGCAGTTTCTAATTTTAACCGCTGGAAAGCAATTACTGAGTAGGTAATTTTCAAGATTTCGAGAACAAACATGGCATTGTCTGTATAACCGGCAGGTGAACTGGCAAAACAATCTTGCCCATTAAAATTGAGTCTATAATTTCCAATTTATTTGTTTCAAATTACTTCAAACAATTTTGTATATGTATATAAATGAAATAATCATATGGAAATACGAGTAAAATAAACCTATGAAACAGGAGTAAAAAAAGAAGAAGATATATTGTACTTAAGCAGAAAGTGATAATTGCAATGATTCTTTACATATAATGTGAAATGCTAACCTCTGTAATGTTTGGCAAAGGTAAGAATGCTCCTTAAAGCTTTGACAGCCTCACTATCAGCCCAAGTACCCTGTCTCTTTGTGTTAACCTGGTAACCAAGGTGATCCATATGACCTTCAATACCTCTGTAATTAACACAAGATACCAGTAAAATATGTAAACTCATCAAATATTTCATATACATACTCATCTACAGATAAATGAAAAAGGAAATAATTTGCACCCAAGAAACTTGACAAGTTTTTTTTTTTTCTAAAACAAAAATTTTATTTCTTAAATTACTAAAGTTCCTAAACTGTCTGTGTTCTGTGTATAGCGTTTTGTCTCAATGACATTTGTTCTAACATAAGGTCTTCCATTTTCAAACTAAAGGGAAAACATAGAAACAACAAGAGCTGCCTATAAGACAGTGCACATAACTATTTCTCAGAACTCTGTAAAAAGGTAACTTAGAGTTATGGGACCTGTGTAACCATAAAAAAATACTCTAACTTGTTATACATACTTACTTTTCAACAAAAGAAAACAATTTTGCTTCATATGTCTCAAACAATTCTTCTGACTGACAGAAAGGACAGCTGAAACAAATGAAACATATACTTAAGTTATGTACATTTCCAACACCAGTTAATGCTGATTAGATAAAATCTTATATGCTCCCTTTTAAAATCAAGCCTATAGCTCAGCAGGTTGTTGTTTGTATTTTTATATGTTATTCTCAATCAACAAAAGATTAACATCTATATCTTATGTATTTTAAAAGTCATTCTATAAACAAAACATTTATGAAATTAAAGTAACATTCCTTTATTCTGTCTAATTAAAACTTTTCAAAATAAATTGAAAATGTTGATATTTACAAGATAACATATTACTTTTTCAAGATGTTATCCACAGGTCTAAGACAACATTCTACAGTTTTGTTTATAAGATCTTGTGAAGGTATGCCCTCTAAACCTTTCATAGCCTTCTTCACTGCCGTGTATGCAGCCTCCATACTTGTTAACTGACTGTTAACAGCATACTCTAGTCCAGAAGCAGATCTACAGCTGTTAAATTTGTAAAAAAATAGAATTTAAACAAAAAATTGGATTTCAGAGGTCTTTACAAAAGTAATGAAAATTGTCTCTAAAATTGAAATTTATCAGAGGGTTTACTTACTATTGATTAAATTGATTAAATATGGAATTTGTTGACTTATTTAATTGTAAACACAAAACATGTATAAAATGAAGTCATAAAATTATGTTTATGAAAAGCAATGATATACAGAAACATCTTAAACATTTCAAACATACACTACAAGAAACAACAAACAACCAAAATATTAGGTCAAAATTTTTCAGAAGAATGATAAACACTTTGATAAACACTTCATTTAGTCAAAATAATTTGTCTTCTGTTTCAAAGCATGCTGAAATTTCAGAACTTTAGAAGTTGATATCAGTATTACAATAAAATCTCATTGGCTTTTCTTTACCTTCTGACAAGTGTATCAACTTGAGGGTTTCTGTTGTCAAGGAGATCATCTCTGACCTTGAGGACAAGATTATCATCCAAGTCTCTGTCTATAGCCCATTGTACCACTTCTAACCACCACTCACTGTAGTCCTGGAACTGGGATATAATATAAACTTGACAGTATGGCCTAATGTAGTAAATAAATTTTATTGGGATTACCTTTTAAATTTCAATTTGAACAGAATTTTCTCCACATACAAACGGCAACAAAAACAACATGTGATAGTTAGGAAACTCTTTTTCTTAGTTACTAAAGGGTTGAATTGAAAAACTTACAACATAGTATTCACCTATAAGTTTGTTAAATGGAAAAACTGAAGATTTAAGGAATTTGCTCTGGTCATGCAGTGTGACAAAATAACTGAAGAAGAACTTTATCTTACTTGATTTAAAAGCTCACTTATTTTAAAGAAAGCTAATTTTTATTACATTTTTACATTGTTACATATTTTACAGACCTCTCTTTCAAGTTGTTTTACATCAAGCTGCAAAGGTACCAGGGCCTCCTCTGTACTTTTTGCATATGCTACTGCCTTGGCCATATACCTGTCACGTAACTCATCAATCTGTGGTGAAAAAAAACAACAACAATTATTCTTTCAATTTAATATAAATATAGAGCTAAAGAATAACTTGAATCAATTTTTAATGGAAAGCTTAATTTCAAATACAAATTGAGGTCTTGTTTTACATACTAAGGTTTTTCTGTAAATATCAAAATCTTTCTTATAATCATTATGAATGTTTGAATATAGGGAAACATTGTGGAAGTATTTTAGAGCTGTCATTGATATCGACAATATCGATGTATCGTTGATATTTTTTGCCGATCAATAATCGATACACATTTTAAAAAATCGATTCTTTTGACTAATAAATTAAATGTCTATAAATTATAAAATTCACCCAATACAGAAGCAGTTATTTATATCTAATGTTATGCCTTTGTTATATAATGGAATTATTTCATAGCAATGGTGACAAAAAATATTGTCTGGAAAAAATCATGCAGTGGACAAGACACTGTACAGAACATGTTTTTGACTGAAATCATTGAAACAGGTATGAAAGTGAATGACAGACAAGTGAGTATAGTATATTATCGATATATCGGTGTATCGTTGATTTTAGTCACTTGATATCAATATATCGTTGATATGCTTTGCACTGAATCAATGACAGCTCTAAAGTATTTCAATTATTTACATTCTACCAATTACTTAATTCATTTTCCTGAACACTGCACCAATACATACTTTATTTCTTGCATGTACCATATTACTTCTTGACATGATTTTAACGTTCAACACTTGCGGAGTATCCACTGAATATTCTTTAGTTTAACCTTCTTAAAAATCAAATTACTATAAATAAAAGCCATTCTCTACCTGTTTAGGTAATTGGTCATCTCTAAGTGTAGGAGCAACTCCGTCTGGTTTAGAGACAAGAATTTCACGCAGGTTATACATGGCATGTAACTGTTGTAAACTGTCTGTCTTCAAGGTATCTTTATGTTCTTCTACAGATCGTAAAACATCCCTGTATTTCTCAACTGCTTCAACAAACTGAAAAATTATAATTGCTACATTGAATCTGTGTCATTGGTTGGGTATCATGCCTTCGTGAGGTTGGGATATGTTGGTTGATTTGCCTCTATACTGGCATAAAAGGTTTAACTGTTTCAGCACCAGCATTCTGAATTTTAATACACACTTATTATGATTGTTACAAAACCATTAAAACTTCTCAACTTTACTGGTAGACCTCAGCTGCCTAGTTTGTTTTTTGTTTGTTTTGATTGGGTTTTACTTCACACCAACACAGAATAGGTCATTTGGCGACATTCCAGCGTTACTGGTGGAGGAAGACCTCAGGTGCCCTTCCGTGCATTATTTCAGGCACGAACGGCACCTGAGTAGAACCACCGACGTTCCGTAAGCTAGCTGGATAGCTTCCTCACATGAAAGAATCCAAAGTCCCTGTCGGATTCAAACCCACAGCTGTGAGGGGCAAATGGTTTGAAGTCAACGACCTTAACCACTCGGCAACGGACGCCCCATCAGACATGAGAGAGTACCTAAGCAGAATTATTGACTTTCTTAAGCCAAATTGATAGTGTCCTCACATAAATGAATAAAATCACTGGAGTGATTCAAATGAACAACAAAGAGGAGCAAGTAATTGGGAAGTTGCAAAGTATATCTGGAAGCTCTAAATATTTCATAGTTCTGTGAATCATTTTTATTTAAAAGCTATGACATTTTAAGCATGAGGCAAATTATTTCTAACGATTGGTATTGTCTATACATATGTATGATTGATAAAAGTGTATGAAGAATATGAAATAATTTATTTGCTTATGAGGATTAACAATATTGTAATAGCATTTAAAACAAAGCCTAAATCTAAAATACTCATTCAATAATTTACATTACCTCCTCTTTGATGATAAGTAGTCCGGCCTCACCATTGATAGCAGCAACGAGGGCCCTGTGAGATTCCTCCGCCTCAAGTTTGGCTTTCTTTGTCAGGGATTCTAACAACTCTTCCATTGTCATTGTACTAAAACAAAACACGCTCTTTCAAAATCCTAATTAAAGGGGGTTACTGAAAAAAATTTTCTTTAAAAAAATTTTTCCCCTTGCAACCTTTTCATGATAGCAAGTATTTAAATTTTTTGTTATAACTTTTTAATTTGTTTGAATACCTAAAGGTACATAAAAATTTTTCAAGACCCAAAACAACAATGGCAGCGATATAAACCGACTTTTTCTTCGAAAAAAGATGAGTAAATGAGCTATGATTCAATTTCCCCAAAATTTTATTTTTTGTTTTGAGGTTAAAAAACACCATTTTGAGTTTAGAGAAAAAAGGCTTACTGATCCCAAATACATGTAGTAAGTTATAATTGAAAAACTTAAAACAATTATCACAAGCCCCCGTACAGAAACCCCCCCATAGGTTGGTTTTTTACTGGTGGGAAAAAGAAGAGATGTTTTTTTAAAAAAAGAAAAAAATTATACCTTTTATGAAGTGGTAGAAATTCCCCTCTCACTGCCTGAGGATGACAACATGCCTGTCGAAGTCTTATAAGTGGATACAGTAACTGAAATAATCACACTATATATGTTACATAATTATGTAGAGCATAACAACAATATATTCAACCGGAAGTGGAAAGAACTCATTTGAAAATCAGTGTAAGTGCTATTCTATATTTGTCGTTTTATTGTCTAAGACTTTTGTGATGATTTCCCAGATATTAAAACTCCAAAGTGGTGTTTGATAGTCAATGACAATGGCTAAAACCAACATTATTTCTAAGCTGATTACTAATTGTGAAAATATGTTCAAATTTTAAACCCAACACCTTTATATTGTAATAAGTATATTTTTGTCAAAGAAGATAACATAATATAGTTACCTGGCTCACCGTCCGTCTGTCCAGACTGCTCAACCTAATGTTACTATCAGTCCACTTACTTAACCTCTATAAATATAAATACAACATTCTTCTTTATAAACAATGAAAATCATGTTAGAAAAGGACTAACATTTTAAAAAATATCTTTACCCCTGCTGAACACAAATAAGGACTAAAACCTGCAGCCAAGAAGCCAGCAGCTAAGAAGTAATTCAACATTCAAATGATGGCCATTTTTTTTTATATAAATCAACAGCATATATTTCATTTTGATGAGAAACACAATCCTTGATCAGCTATTGTTTAGGATATTTATGTGTATTATAATATTCTAATTTACAGACAATTTAAAAGTTTTATACATTTACTAGACTTTGTATATATTGATCAGGGCTATAAAAATTCTAGAAAATGTCATGAAAAAAACCTTTATTGCAAGTTACAGGCCTTGGAAAAAATAAACAAATGTAGGAAATGTAAGACAAACAACATATTTGCAAAATAAGACAACATATTTGCAAATTAAGACAAACATGTTTGCAATATAAAACTAACAACGCATTTGCTATATAAGACTAACAATGTAGTACAACAAATTTCACATTCATACTGTAAAACATCATCTGGTGATTTAAAGTTTCTGTTATATACCTCCATTGAGAGTCTGACACAGTCTCTGTATTGTCGTCTATAGAAATGTTCCTCAACAGGTGAAAATGTCAACCAATGAACTTCATCCGTCTGCTGGGGAATGTTTATCTGAAATAAACATTTCAAAAAACTTGCATTTTCTTTCACACCAATTATCCTAAATATATTATATATATAACAAGAGCTGTCGGTAGGACAGCACGCTCGACTATTCTAAGTGCTTGATAGTAAAAGAGACTTGATAATGTTAAATTTTTTTTTATAAATTCATGTTATTGGCCTTAGAGAGATTCTAATTATACAGTATTGGCTTGACTATGCGGAAGGTAATGTCACAAGGGTGTTTTATTGAGTATAATAATACTAATTACCTATGAATACATAAATTTGACAGAAAAGGTACAAAGGCTAAATGTTATTGAGATGTTTTATCAAGTAAATCACTGCTTTATTAATATGAATGCATAAAATTGTCCCAAAAAAGGCACAAACCCTTCAGTAGTTATTGAGATATCAGCTTACAAGCAAAACTTTACCATGAATTTCTAAGTTGAAAAAGGGGAGAAAAATCAGCCTTAATGCAAGATAGAATTATGGATCTTTGTCAGTGACCTACAATTATGACCCTAAATGCATATGTGAAGTTTTAAATAAATATCTTTAATAGTTATTGAGATATGTAAAACTTGCATGTAAACATTAACCAAGAGACTAAGTAGAAAAGGGGATATGAATCAGCCTTAATGCAAGATAGAGTTATGGAACTTGGTCAGTGACATACAATTATGACCCTCCAATTATGACCCTAAGTGCATGTGTAAAGTTTTAAGTAAATATCTTTGAAGACCTTTAACCTTTAACCAAAATTTCTAAGTTTCAAAGGGGCAAATAATTCTGCAAATATTGCAGGCAGAGTTATGCAATTTTGCAAACTGATGTACATTGCTACTATAAAAAAAGAATTTTAAATTTCAATTGAATATCTCAAGCAATAATTGAGATATTTGACTTTACAAAAAAAACTTTAACCAAAATTTCTAAGTTCCAAAGTGGCATAATTCTGTCAATATTGTAGGCAGAGTTATGTAACTTGTCAATCTGATGTACCTTGTTACTATAAATAAGTATTGTAAGTTTCAATTGAATATCTCCTGAAATAATTGAGATATTTGACTTTACAAAAAACTTTAACCCAAATTTCTAAGTTAAAAAGGGGCATAATTCTGTCAATATTGTAGGCATAGTTATCCAACTTGTCAATCTGATGTACCTTGTTACTATAAATAAGTATTGTAAGTTTCAATTGAATATCTCAAGTAATAATTGAGATATTTGACTTTACAAAAAACTGAACTAAAATTTCTAAGTTAAAAAGGGGCTTTATTCTGTCAATATTGTAGGCAGAGTTATCCAACTTGTCAATCTGATGAACCTTGTTACTAAAAATAAGTATTGTAAGTTTCAATTGAATATCCCAAGAAATAATTGAGATATTTGACTTTACAAAAAACTTTAACCAAAATTTCTAAGTTAAAAAGGGGCATAATTCTGTCAATATTGTAGGCAGAGTTATCCAACTTGTCAATCTGATGTACCTTGTTACTATAAATAAGTATTGTAAGTTTCAATTGAATATCTCAAGTAATAATTGAGATATTTGACTTTACAAAAAACTTTAACCAAAGCAGACGCTGACGCCGACGCCGGGGCGACTACAATAGCTCTCATATTCTTCGAATAGTCGAGCTAAAAATAATTAATTTTGATAAGAAAAGATAATTTAAACTAAAAGATGTCTATTCCATATTCAAAGAATGATAATATCAAAATTTTGCATATAAGTGGTTAAAAGAATACAAATTCAATAAAGTTTACACATCTAATACAAATACCAGGACCACTTACCTGATCAAGGACATCGGTCTTAACAGTTCTCCACAGAACTGAGGTTAAAAGGTCATGCATGGCATCAGGTACACCATGACAGTACGGTTTAAAGACCAGCTTTGTCCACCACATATAAACCCAGTATGGATCAACTCCAAGAAATAGTAACAATCCATACAGATCTGAAGCATGTGAAATGTGTTTACTTCATTACAGACATATTAAATTTATGTGAATCATTTAATATACATATACGTGGCGATCGAAAATTTAATTTGGAATCCAAAATGCAAATATGACAAGTTAAAGGCAAAACAATTTTAGTTGGGATAACATAAAGGTTTAATGACTAAAGGAGATTTTTGTATATCAAATGATTCATCAAAAAATGATTTCAATAGGTACTACTCTGGACTAAGAAACTTCTGGTTGTTCAGTATTTACCAAAGAGAAGACGAGTGTGACAAACTGATAATTGATAATCATACAGTCCTCTTCCACAATTCCAAATATGATTTGTGGAAAAAATAGTATTGGTAGTTTTTTTAGCAGAAACAAGCTGTGGGAAAATCCAAAAGGAAACCATACACCAGCATATACATGTACCTAAAAATATTCTTGAATCTGACATCAAAACTGACACAGTACTCACCATCAATACTCCTCTGTATTGGAGTACCAGTTACACACCAGCGATTTATTGCCTTCAGTCGTAATGCCATTTCAGATGTCTGATAAATATATTAACTGTTTAATGTCTGTATATACAGTGTAACTTCCGAATTCCGGAACTTCTGAAATCCGGAAACTTCTAAAAACCGAACAATTTTTTCGGTCCCGATTTTTTCCCTTCTATTTTCTATTAATATAATACTTCTGAATTCCGGAACTTCTAAATTCTGAATTCCGGACGATAAATTAGAGTCAAATCAATGCAATTTTACCTCCTAAAACCGGAAATATCCAAAGGTGTGAAATACATTGTAAACCCTGCAGGAAGATTTAATCTCCCTATCGATTGTTTACTAATTAGCGGTGATCGTGTAATTTGACACGTGTTAAAATCACAAACTGTGAAAAGGTATGTTTGAAGTGATGCGGTTAATCAAAGTAATTTACGGCGGTCAGTTAATTTGAAGTGTTCATTAGCGGATTAAATGACAATTAATTGGACAATGTATGCATCAAAAGTCTTTAGGGATTTTATTGCATTTGAAGTAATAATTAATTAACTAGCATCGGACGCTATGTAAGTTTATGCAATTAACAACATTTCTACAAACTGATAGAAATTTAAGATTGCAAGTAAGATAAAAATGTATTCTTTTCATTCACATCTTTATCTTGATTAAAAAACTATTATATATGATATTACAGTAAAGGCCATTTCTTCCTGATATTAAGTGGCTTAGTCTTGTCCGCATTATCATAAACCTCTGAATTCCGGAAACCTCTGAAATCCGAACTTTTTGACAAGTCCCATGGGTGTTCGGTTTTCGGAAGTTACACTGTACATACAATTTTATCTAATATGTTGTTGTTTTTTTTTTTTTTAAACATCATATAAATAGTAAAGTCTGTTCTTTAAAGGGACTCCACTGAGGTTTTTTGACATGACAACACTGGAATATTTTTTTGAGATTATTACTCCATCTGATGTATGTCTATACCAACAACTTATGTACAAAATTTCGTATTATTAGCTCGCTTCGTTTTTCCAGAATAATTGTTTTAATTGTCAAAAATGACCTAAAATTGAAAAGCGTTTAAACACTTTTCACTCAAATTGGACTGAGAATAACACAAACATACGATTTTCAGTGTATTTCTGTGTATATTTCTTAATAATCTTTTGTATATATTTCTGTTTTAGGTGCACCAGTTGATCTATGTGAGAAATTAAAATTTTATGATTTTACGCTTATGAACCTCATTGGAGTTCCTTTAAAACTTTTATCGTTTTTGTATCATATGTCTTGTTCAACAATCAATTTTATATGTGACTAAGGTATCAATAATAATCATCATTTTCCCATTTAAATACTAATACACAGAAGAATTATGTTAAATCATAATTAATCTCATATCACTATTATATATAAACATATTTTGTAAAATAAAGAAGCAATGCCCTTTCATTCTCCTAAAGCAATTCTGAACAAAAAATCATAATTATTTTTTTGTTATTTCTAAATCATGAATTAAACATTTAATATCTCACCTTAGTAGTTGTACATTCAACCATCTGGGCCTCATCAAGACAAATCTAAAATACACAAAATAGTAGCACATATAACTAGAGAAAAATTTTAAATGAAAGAGCTTGTGAATAAAAATAGAAATATCTTCATGTGCAATAAATAACAATAAAATTCCACAGAATTTCAGGATAAAGAAACAATGGGGAAAAAAACAACACCCATCAGACATTTAAACAGATTGAGAGTAAATCATGTCAGAATTATAAAAACAAAATATATAAGTAGTAATTTGTTAAAGAGTATGTAGACTTCATTATGAAACATTGTTATACATACCCTCCACCACTCTACTGCTGTCAAAGGACTTGGTATTGCCATAAATCTCTTTGCATGACGTAACTTCCTACCCTCAGAACCTGTAACACAAAATTATCAAATAAATAATACAATAAAATAAAATGAGCCGCGTCACAACAAAACCAACATAATGGGTTTGCAACCAGCATGGATCCAGACCAGCCTGCGCATCCACGCAGTCTGATCAGAATCCATGCTGTTGGCTTACAAACCCTATAGCAAGTAGAGACACTTATAGCGAACAGCATGGATCCTGATCAGACTGCGCGGATACGCAGGCTGGTCTGGATCCATGCTGGTCGCAAACCCATTATGTTGGTTTTGTCATGACGCGGCTCAAATTATCTAGCACAATTCATACAAGAAAACGCAGTAAAACCTGTCAGCAAACAGCAGTCCTACAAACCAGAAAAAATATTTTTTATATGAGGTCTCACAAAACAAGCAATATTGCGCAATAATTGTTCAAACTGTGAAATAAAATGATAGTCACTTGTGACAATTATTTACTTTTCAAGGTCAACTTTTGAACAATTTGTAGTTTTTTTCCTTTTTGAATGCCGTCACTTGTATAAAACAGGATTGAAAATACATTAGCGACAAATAGTTCAGGCAGCAGAACAGTGTTCAGACTATGCAAGCCTGTATATGCCTTTTTCCTTATACTGCGTGTAATAGCAACCAAGTAGGTGCGTGTTCCTAACAACAAGACAATATAAGACAACAATAAAAAATTTGCCTACTGTTACAATGTGGGAGATCAACATAGTCTATTTCCTTCCTCAGTGTCTCATAGGTAGTTATCACAATGTCTTGTTTAGCCAGTGTCCGAGGCTGTATAAAACCTTGTTTATATACGCCATTATACATCTACAACAATCAATAAAATATAGTGCATATTTAAATGAAATGAAATCTTTAGATGACAAAGTAAAACAAGATTGCATTTGAGAAAAATGCTATGCCACCGCATGGTTCAAATTTCATAGCTGTACATCAAAGGACAAGAAAGAAAGTCACATCATCAAAATCTAGGTCAAAGTTCAATTTTACAACTAAAACTGTGCACATGGTCAAAATGTCATTGCTGTACATCAAAGGACAAGAAAGTAGGTCACTGTCCCCTTGGGCAAGGCATAATTTTGACCCAAGGGTTTAATAACAATCTTGATACAGGTCCACCAAACAACATTTCAAGTCAAATATCTAAGCTATAGCTTTCTCCCATTCAGAAAACATTTGTTTTATTTTCTGTTTTTACTACGTGTACATAATGAGAATCACTGCCCCCGGGCAGGGCCAATTTTTGACATTTGAACAACGTTGGTAGAGGACCTATAGATGATATTATATATCAAACATCAAAGCTCTATGCCTTGAACCTTCAGACAAAAAAATTTTTTTTTCACTATATGTACATAATGAAAATCAATGACCCCCGGGGCGGAACCAATTTTGACCCCAGGGCTATAATTTGAACAATCTTGCTAGAGGTTCACTACACAATGTTTCATGCAAAATATCTTAACTTTATCCTTTGTAAATTTAGAGAAGATGATTTTTTAAGTTTTAACTATATACATATAGGATAAACCTATGGCTCCCAGGGGCGGGGCTAATTTTGACACAAGAGGCAAAATTTGAACAACTTTGGTAGAGTACCTTTAGATGATATTATTTAACAAATATTAAAGCTCTAAGCCTTGTACCTTCAGACAATAAGTTTTTTTATTTTTTACTATATATGTATATATTGAAATCAAAGACCCCCAGGGCAGGGACAATTATGACCCCAGGGCTATAATTTGAACAATCTTGCTAGAGTTTTACAACACAATGTTTCATGCAAAATATCTTACCTTTAGCATTTGTCAATTGCTAGAAGAATTTTTTAAAAGTTTTTACTATATACATATAAGGAAAACCAATGACCCCTGGGGCAGGTCGATTTTGACCCCAGGGCTATAATTTGAACAATCTGGGTAGAGGTCTACAAGACAATGCCTTTTAATATGCAAAATATCTAAGCTCTAAGCCTTTTGGGTCTTTACAAGAAGGTGTTTTAAGTTTTTACTATATGTACATATAGCGAAAATCAATGACCCCGGGGCGGTGCCGATTTTGACCCAAGGGTTATAATTTGAACAATCTTGGTAAGGGTCTACCAGATGATGCCTTATGCAAAATATCTAAGCTCTAAGCCTTTTGGGTTTTTACAAGCAGGTATTTTAAGTTTTTACTATATGTACATAGTGAAAATCAATGACCCCCGGGGCGGGGCCAATTTTGACCCCAGGGCTATAATTTGAACAATCTTGTTAGAGGTCTTCCAGACAATGCCTTATGCAAAATATCTAAGCTCTAGGCCTTTTGGGTCTTTACAAGAAGATTTTTTAAATTTATCCTTATAATTCCTTTTGGTTGCCATGGCAACCAGATTTCTGCATGGAATGAAATTCTTTGAACAACTTTGGAAGCCCTTCACCCAAGGAACAATCCTGCCTAGTTTGGTTGAAATTGGACTAGCGGTTTTTCACAAGAAGTTTTTTTAAGTTCACTATATAATCTATATAACACACACACAAACACACACACACACATACATACACACAGGTGAATCGCTATATGCCACCGCATCGCAGATGCTGCGGTGGCATAAAAAAAATATACCAACATTTTATATAAGTATACTTCACAGATTTCTTTATGTTTATGGAAACAATTTTTGAATAAGACTTGTTAAACAATTAACTGCAAACCTGTATCTGACTTATTTTTACACAAAAAAAGACGACTTTCTAAATCATGTTTTTTTCATAAAAGGACATATTAAAACACTTATTTATCATGTTTATTGTAATAAACATATCAAAATCTATTGAAAACAGAAAAACATGCCTATTCTTGGCCAGAGACATTTATAAAATCCAATATATCAGAATTTACACAAAATGCATAAACATGCTAGAACATTTTAATTGCACAACTTCCTGTAATCAGTTAATCAATAATAGCTAGATGAGAGTCAACATTTGAATAATCTCATAGAGCTTCCATTAAGTTTCAAAATTTGGAAGTCAGAGACTGCAAAATCTCGGACATTTGAAGTCACATTATATAGATAAAAAAAATAAGTGTTATATTTTGGAAGTCACAAGCCAAAATCAGGAGTAAAAGACACCCAAACTTCCACTAAAGGAAGCCCTGAATCTTACTTACAAACACATTGATTGCCTCTTTCTTCACATGTTTTAATATTTCCTCCAGCCACTGGTGAGCAATAGAAAAAGGGGAGATAATGAGTGTAGCCCCTGATGGAATTGGATCCTGAAATTTAAAATTTATAGTAAAAGGCTTTTACTTACTTATTCTAGTTTCCAAAAGTTTGTACAAATTCTAACAAGTTCAAAACACGCCATGTTTAATAACTTTTTTTCTCCAGTTAAAACATTAAAATTATTTGGATATACATTATTTTAAAAAGATAAGTTTTATTTCAAGTCGGCAAGTTTACAAACATTACAACATAAGCTCTAACCGACTGTATATAACATAAAGTATAAATGAAGGCAAGCAACTTACAGATGCAACATGACAATGTGGACATTTAAACTCGCCCCTGTACGGATCCTTCAGGTCATAGTTGACACATTCAGCATGTTGCCACAAGTGACATTTTACACATTGTGCTGGATGCTTCTTCAGCCTCCCGTGTTGACGTAACTTGTATGCCCCGCATAAACATTCAAATTCTGATTTATTAATTTCTGGTTTTTCTGTGAATATATTTTTACTCTCTTTGAAGTTTTCAGACCCTGTTCTTGTAGTGTTTTTTATTTCACTTTCGTCTAAATGATTGTTAACATCGTTGCTTTCTGATTGGTCAGTTGTATTCAAATCTGATTGGCTGCTTAAATCTAATGAGATATTTTCATTTGCATCATCAGAATAAATGATCGTTTCATCATCAGATTCAGGGGAGATAGAATCTTCAATGATTTGCTTTTGTTTCCTCTTTTTCTTTTTAGCAGATATTTCATCTTCTTTGAGAGTGATAACTGAAAAATATTAGTAAGAAATCTGATTTCTCTATTATCTTTAGTCAAAAATCATAAAAACTATAAAATTAGAGAAAACAAAATTCATAAGTTAATGAAAATCTAGTTTTATAGTGAAAAGTAAACAGTAACATTTCCATTTTATTTTGAAGTATATAATACTAAAACTGTACAACTTAATATTAATATTTTGTTAATGGTAGACAAAACCAAATTCTTGTTCATACACTGCCTATGGTGCAAGTAGACACCTACTGCCTTTATTGTTAACAAGTTTTTTCACCAATGAACATAGTCTTTAACAAGATAAAGTTTACCTTCAACAAAAGGAAGAGGGTCTGGAAGTGGTAGGTTTTCCCTTGGATTATGCAGCATACATGCCAGCACCTCAACTGTCTTGCCAAGGCCCATCTCATCTCCTAAGATACCACCAGGTGGGTGGGCAACACAACATGGCTTCTCCAGTACAAACCTTTAAAATCAGTAAAGATTTTTCAAAAGTAAATCATGAGAGATTTTGAAACATCACAACATACCTTTTTTTAATGCTGCCAATATAAGATCAATTTCTACCATTAAAACAATATGAAGTCTTAGAAATAAAAGCTTTATTTTATATTTGCATCTATAGCACACAGAAGATGAATTGTTCGAACGTGTACCAAAACAATAATCTACAGTACATTGTTTATTCATCTGTCATCACCTTAGTGCAGTAATTTAATTTCTTAACTTCTATTTATCTATATAAGGAGTTAACTGCACTAAGGTGAAAAGCTTATGAAAAATAAAAAAATGGAGACAGAGAAACCTACATTCCTGCGTATTTGTGGAAATAGACTGTCTGTCCGTCTGCTGTAACAACCTCCGTAAATAACATATGTAGCTGATCTGAAACAATCATTTCAATACAAGAGTAAATTTACTTTCCTCCATCTGAATAACATTTAGATTTGCTAACAGGATTCTAATGAATTCTCTTTTGTTGTTGCTTTGTAAATGGGTACTTAAAATAACATGATAGTAAATGGCATGGCTTAGTGGTTAATGCTTATGACTAATAATCTAAGGATTGCTGGCTGCATGGGTTCAAACCTCATCAGGGGCAAGCCGTTGTTTCCGTGACCAGGAACTTTTTCACTCATTGCTTCGTACTGTTTGGTTCCAGGAAAGGATTTGAGGGTGTTTCAATAAGCTTAATAATATAATTTCCAACACAATTGGACTAAAATAAATTTGTTGAAAAACTCAATGGCATACAGCAACTTTCGAGAATTACCAGTGGGTCAGATAATCCATTAATTACTTCGAGCATGTGTAGGCACCGAAACAGAATTGTCCACCTTCTGTAAAACTTATTGCATAGATTTTTGTAGTTGTTTTTCTGTTGGTAGGTTGTACGTCAAACCAACACAGTAGTTCATATGGCAACTTTCCAGCTTTACTGATGGAGAAAAACATCAGGTGCTCTTCTGTGCATTGTTTCAGGCACAAACACCTAGGTAGAACCACTGATGTTACATAAGCTAGCTGGGTAGCTTCCTCACATATTGAATTCAAAGTCACTGTTGGGATTCGAACCCAAAGTGGTGAGGGGCTTGGATAGCTTAATAGAAGCACCTTTAAAGCTACAACATGCAAAACATTGAATTACTTTATTGAAATTTCCAAATAGTGCAATTAATTTCAAAATCCCCTAATAAGTAAAGACAAAACTATTGACTAACAAACTTATATGTAAACAACAAATGAAATATAACAATAGATAGTGGTTATTTTCAAACCTGTATCATTTAATGCCAGATGATTTACCAAATCTGCCACCAAGTATACGGCAAGAGCAGTCTGTACATAAATGCAATCTGATCAAACAGGCTTTATTATTATAGCTTCTTAATTCTACTATTTCTATACAGAAATCCATAAATATAGAAACAGACCAAATTCAAAACAGGACAAGTTTATTATACATATTTAGCAGTGTTCAGGGGTAAAGTCAAGATTTTGTTTTTTTATTTCTAACATACCATCAGGCTTGTCACATTCTTTGTCGTTTCTTTCTTTATTTAACATCCATGTGATAGCTTGTTGTTGGTATGGCCGTAACCTTGGTAACAAACTTTCGTGTTGAATGCCTGGAAGAACTTGACAGGAAACAGACATGTGCCGTTCTTTTATCACTCTGTACAGCTCATCTATGTCATGCTTCTTCGTATAGGGCAAATGATCGTAATCTATTAAAAAACATAGCATTCAACAATGAAAACAAAGAAAATTAAAGGTTCAGATTTGAATGCTGTCTTAATAATACTTTTTTTTATTAACAAGCATGAAATTCTTTGAAAATTACATCTTAATTAGACATTTTATTAAAAATATGTTAGTCAAATATAAATTAGATAATAATAGACCCATACAAATAATACAAAATCTAATGCTCTAGTATACAATGTATATACATAAAGCTAGGCCAGCCTGTGAACCCTGTACTCTGAGTTAACTATTTTTCATGTCTATAATTCATTTTTGCAATTGTCACGTTTTTCTTTGGTTACTAACGACATAGGACTATGAGAACGACTCAGAAGGATCTGGTTTCATACTGAATGACGATGCATATTTTAGCTCTTTTCATTGGCTGCTTATGTCTTCATTATTATTTTAAACTGGATGATTCTAGTTGTGCTAAAAATAAAAATGATAACCAATCTTGACTGATCCAGTTAAAACTGGATTTACTGGTGAAAAAACGATTAAAAGAATATGGCACAAATAAAAACCTCTGTAATACTTTACCTGGAGTAGTTATTCCATAGAAATGCTGCATAAGAGTTATTAATGAGTGATTCTGCTTTTTGGCCATTCTTACAGCTTCACCTGGACAAGATAAACGTAGCAGCAATGCCTCTGTCCCATAAATTTTCAATGTGACTGTCTTATTCTTACACTCAAACTTGTCTATAACCACTTGAAAACTTTTACAATCCAAAGCTTCAAAACAGACCAGAGGTAAGTCTGAATCAACAAACCAAAATTTTACATCGGTGACGTCAGCTTTCCTTTTATTTCTGACTTTTTTTCTCCCAAACAACTCCCTCTTAAATCTATTTGTTTCACAACTGAATATATTTTTTTTACCATCTTTACTAACAAAAAGTGAAAACTCTGTAATGTCTGGTAACTTTTCTGTAGGTAACGGAACAAATATAGGATGTGGCGAAAATTGTATCTGAAACTCGGCTAATTCACATTTCCAGGCTCCTTTCTTAGTGCACAACTCTGTGTAGACAGGTATACTGAATAAACAATTATCTGCGTGTAGTTCATAAATCTCAAACAAATCCGCCGATCTATAACTAGTACCTGTTGTATCAAAACAAGCCCCACCCTCAATAACAGTCGGAAAGTCTGTGTTATTCTTTTCCTTCTCAGTCAGTATACTGGATCTTTTGTTACTTACTGTTCCATTTTCAGCATTTTCATCAATGTCATCAATAACAAGATCATGAGTATTCTCAGCATTGTCTAGCATATTCCATGACAGACATTTTCTCTTCTCCTCAGTGGCCTTTTGTGGTGGTCTTTGTTTTCGCTTGCCCATTTTTTATAAAGCAAGGTCTTCTTAATTGTCTTGCACAAATGATCTACCATCCATATGTACTCTAACACATAACTAACATATCAGTCCCAAGTTCATGTTGAAACACTTAAATTCCCAAGAAATCTCTCTAAATCCATATTATCTTTCCGTACTTTGAATTTCTGGAAAAAGAATCTTTACAGTTACAAATGTGTTGTGAAACATAAACAAAAATGTTTAGGTTAATATATGCAGCTATTATTGTTTGATTTTATTAACCTGTCAATTCCATACTGATTATACGGTCAATGCACAGAATATATTAATATTCGATAAATGTTCGGTTAATTCCGTGAAATTTAAGCAGTAAGATATTATTAAATTCATCTGGTTTCTTTGCATTAGTTACACTGACCGTTATAGCGCAATAGGGTAAACTATGGGTATATAATTTCTAAATGTCCTACGCGTTGTAAGATCGAGACAGCGTATGTCCAGACATTTTTTCTAATTTATAACTATTTTCGATATTTTTTAAGTTTGTTCCCTCTGTGTTAATAGGTTTTGCACTTTTTTGTTAATACTATCTTTTTGTATATAACATTGTTAAAGAATTAATATTCAAAATTCATTCGGATCAATAAATGTCATTTCAGTGCCGTAAAATACAATGCAAAACGTGACAAGTCAGTGTTTATTAGTTGTTTCATATCTGTGTAGAAAATTCTGAAAGCGCTTGATCATTTTCATTATAATTTGCTTAAAAATAAAGAAAAAATAAGTCTAAAAATAAGTGACGTCTAAAAAATGTCAAAAGAAGGGATCGAACCTCGGACCTCTCATACATAAGGTAGTCACTTAACCGTCTTTGCTATTGCGGATGTTACAAAAACCTACATTAAGCTAGTGGGGTTTTTCTAAAAGTTAGCTTTATACTCCATATTTATTCTCGTAAAATAAACGGACAAAACCGAAGTAGGATCGAATATTTAAATGAGTGCTATAATGTATTCATAATTGACAGGTCAATAAAATCAGACTATAACTGAGACCAGTTCAATGAGTCATCCAGGGATTGAGTACCCCTGACCATAAGCCAGGTACCAGGCTAATATTGTGCAATATTAAAATCAGACTGTGTATCTGCATTTTCTTTAAAAAACAGGACTGTTCTTTTTTAATTTTTGAGAAAAACCAGTCAAAGAAGGTCAATAGATATTCAATACACAAACATAAAAGGCTTAACAGTGCCAAAAGGTCATAATTATCTTGTTTGAAAAAATTATAAAAATATATTCATTTTTCACACAGCTCATAATTTAGGGTGACTCCAAACAGTCACACATGTGTATAATTACAAACGATATTATTAACATTTTATATCCTATTTTAAATATCCAAAATTATTTCGACAAAAAAGATATTTAATACATTAGACCTATCCTATTTTTAAGATGGCATACAGGAACAAGTTTATTGTACTAAAATGTGCAAGATTGTGGATTGTATTTACATGCCTTCTTCTTTAAAAATGGCTAAAAGAGAGACAAAATAATTGCATACATTTTATTTAAGAGACATATATCTTTATAATGAGATACATTTGTAAAATGTTTTCTTAGAAATGAAAAAAATTCAAAAATTTCAAATAAGCATTATAAAAATACATCTTAAAATAGCTGCATTATTTATTATCCTTATCAATGTATTAATAAAAAAATTCCCATCATAACAAAAGGATCTTTGATGTACAGTATTTATACTATTTCCCTTAATTGTTTATACACAGTCTATTAAAATATGTTACAATCACATATACTGACATATTTTCTGTTCATTATAGCAAGTTAACTGCTCAAAGTTTTTCACAACTTAACTTGAAGATTTTGACCCATCTATCCTTCCATACTTGCATTTCTGGGGATTACCATGATACCATAGTAACCTTCTCTGAAATTACCCACAGTGGCAGACAATGGAAATAGTTTAAAAAATAACATTTTAATTAGATCTTTGGAAATAATTCTATGATGAACAGTTTTGGAAAAAGTTCACTTATTAAATAGAAGAAAAATCTCATTCATGTATGATATTTATATTTGAATATTTTCCTATAAACCTTAAGTACCGTCTGGCTCGGTATGCCTAAAATACGAAAGTGAAATTTTTGACAAAAGTGAGCGAAAGTGACTTTTAAAATTTCAATTGTACTGTTTAATAGAATTTTACAGTGAATTTTCTGTTTGTAGACATAAATTATTAGTAACTAATAATAATTCTTTTCAAAAATAATCACTATGATGATTTAATCGCCATTTATTTGCATAATTTCTATACACAAGTTCTGAGATCTTCATTTCTCTCATTGTGTACCTGAGGAAAGTGCCTTATAAAATATAATATCAAATATAGCGTTTAAATAGATTTTAATATTAATATTGCAGTTTAAAGAAAGTACAGTAAATATGTTACATTTAAATATTTTGTATAATATTATTGTATCAAAAATATCATTATGTCCCGATGTTCAGAGCAATATATTATCACATTAACACAACAATGACAGCTGTGTAGGTTATCTTGCTGAATTAATTGGTTACATGCAAACACGTGTTGTAATAATGTTTTTCGTACCCACTTTAATTGACAGTAATCACGCGTTTTTTAAGTTTCTTTTATAATTAAATAGAATTCATTTTTTGATAATTTAGGTTTACATACTATATAAAGTTTAATTTAAACCCTATATTTAATAATTTTAAAGTCACTTTCGCTTCCTCTCACTTTCGTCCGAATAAGTCACTTTTTGTTCAATGCAAATGATAGATATCTGGTACATGAAAATACATGGATGTTTAATCATCATAATGATTATTTTTGAATATAAATGTTAATATGAAATTAGGTGCTACCTATGGCGCGGAAAGATCTTATGAATTATGATTTTAGCATAACATGTTTCGTGTACATGTTAGCAGGTATTTTGTACCATAAACAAAACGAATAATTTGGTGGTGTTCGACCTATTATTGGAGTGATTGGAATATTCCGAAAAATCTCCGAACGTAAAGGGGGACCACTGCGCATGCATCGGCGTTTGGAAAATCCCGTCCGCCATTTTTGTTAATCTCTAATCACAGTTTTTGTTTTAACACTATTTTTAATGTGCTTATTTATCAAATAGGAATTGTTAAAGTAACTTTTTATATTTATAATCGTTACTATAATTCTTATCAATGAAATGTAGGTTTATTTTCTGATTTTGCAATTTTTTCACCGGAAGTGTTACTTAGCATGCGTCTGCTAACAATAGTCTGAATTTTGTAGACGCTCATTAAAAGCGATCTGATATCTTTATTTAGCTCAAAAGGATTTCAAAATGGCGGCGCCCAGTTAACTAAGGATTTTTTCACAGCTCATTAGTTATAGGATATATACTTTTTTGAAATTTTCATTTAGTTTTAATTTGATTTCATTTCAATTGATACGTGTCATACATGTTATCTAAGAGCACTACAGCCCTCGCGGGGCCTTCGGCCCTGCTCGGACTTTCCGCGTTTTAGTTTCTGATATATAATACGTTTACAAACTGCAATTTAAGTACATTTTCAATTCAAACTCTATATTTGATATTTTACAAGTTAGCAATTTTACTGTTAAATTCTATTAAAACAGTGCAATTCAAATATCAAAAGTCACTTTCGCTCACTTTCATAAAAAATCTCACTTTCTTATTTTAGGCGCCCCCACCCCCCCGGGCTACCCCATATAGAATCCCCGTACTGCCAATTTCCGATCAGCTAACAGATTTTTCTATAATAACTGACAGTGAAATTATGAAAATAAAATTTCTCTTACAATTCTGCAAATATTATCATTTCAGCTTATAAATGCAACAACTTTTTAAAATTTTACCTGAATTATTATTATGAATCGAGGACAAATCATTACTGACCCATTTTCCTGTTCTTCACAATTTCACAACCACTTTTCAATCAGTTAACAAAATATAAACTGTACCACATAAAAATTGTCATACAATGTTAAAATATAACCAGTTATGTATTTTGAAGAAATTTTAACAAAATCAACTTCAGATAAATGGTATTAAACAATTTTAACCTATTTATAATGACATTTTTCAATCTTGATATCTTTTTGCAGTAGTAAAGCTGTCACAATTGGGGTATGGATGTACATCTCAATGTGCATAACAGAAAAAGCATGTTCTTGTGAAATTTTTAGGATCTTAGGGTCTATATGGCCCCATTCTAGTGACAGCTTTCTGAAAAGTTATCAGAGAGAATGTTTTTCCTTTTAGTGACTGTTAGTTTACTGACGTATAACCTTCCAATTAAGAATAGTAAGGTAAAATATGTACATATTAAAATTATAGCTTTTGAAGTGCAGTATACATTATGACTTAATGATATTGAAACAGTTGTCTAACTTAATATCCATTTTGCAGACTGACAAAAAACTGAGTCTGTAAATTAATTATTTTTAGAAAATTATTGCAATTTGTAACTGGGTAAATAAAGGATTAGTGGAAAACACAAATTTTACATATTTTGAACTAAAATACTGTTATTTTCTTTTTTAACACCATAATTGACATTGCTGCTTATAAATGTAGTCAAGGTAAATACAAGATGTGCTTACTGTTTGGTTACATGACAAATAAGGTCAAAAATAAAGAATTTCCAGGGATGATTGAAAAGTGGTTGTGATTGAAAACTGGCAGTATGTGGAAACATTAAAATAGTATGTCAAGTATCTGTGATTTACAACAAAAGCAATCAGTTACGTTGAATTATGCCCATAAACATACTGAGACAACGTAACTAAAAAGGACACATTAATAAAATTATAGCCAATCAAACAATAATCTCAAAAATAACAAAAAACAAAATTTACTTACCTCGCGAATATATGTGACACATTGCATTCTCTCTATAGTATTGTCATGTCATTGCTTTATTAAACTGCTTGCATATGGGATATAATATATTTGTACATTTTGCATTGTCAATTTACAGTAAAGACCGTTCAGTTAAAAATTAACTAATGAATGTCTAACTTTTGTTTATTTTGGATTGCACAATACGACAAATACCGAACAGCTCCGAATTTGTAAAAAACACTGCACCATACCATACTGATCTACTGCAACCTTTCGGTATTTTCCGTCAAGTTCCGGCTGGTGACCAATTTGTCAGTTTATTGAAAAATACTGGAAAACAGACGTTACCTTTGCTTTCAAATAACCTGGGACTAAAATTTTAAAATTATGTTCCTTTCTGTCCCAGAAATAACTGAAGCACATATATACATATACATTCTATATTAAGCTCCATGACTGAAGTAACCAATTTTCTGAGCAAACACTTTTATTCAAGAAAGTTTTGATACTTACAAGCCAATGGATTGCAAATTAATTCCTAGAGTATCTAACATTTTTTTTCTTATAAGCTCATCATTTGTGTAAATTCATAACATGCAATTCCAACTCCAAAGAGTCTGGACTAAAAAGTAATGAAAGGGTGTACACATTTTGTAGTAGTCATGAGCATGGTTGTGATCTCCATTATATTTTAAAATGTTCCCACTTCAGTAATCAGAGAAAAAAATGTATACTGATTCTATAAATCGGAATATCCTTGTTTTTCGTTTCAACTCACCTGTCACAAAGTGACATGGTGAGCTTTTATGACCATTTTCGTTCGGCGTCCTTCCGTCCGTAAACTTTTACTTTAAACGGCATCTCTTAAACCGCTTAGTCAATTTCATCCAAACTTCCCAAGAATGTTCATTTGATAATCAACTTTAAAAATTGTTCAAAGAATTTAATTCCATGCAGAACTCTGGTTGCCAGGGAACCGAAAGAAAAAAAGAATAAATATCCTTTTAACGAGATAGAGCTTGAAACATCGTCTAGCCAGTATCTACCAAGTTTGTTCAAATAAAATCCCTGTGGTCAAAATTTGCCTCGCTGGGGGGGGGGGGGTTCATTGACATTCCTTTTATGTATATAGTAAAAACTTAAAAAACTTCTTTTAAAAATCTCAAAATGTAGATTTAAGATATTAAGCATGAAACATCTTCTAGTGTGTGTCTGCTAAGTTTGTAAATTGTTGAAATAAAAGCCCTAGGGTCAAAATTGGAAGCGCCCCTTGGTGTCATTGATTTTCCTTGTATGTACATGTAAAAACTAAAAAAGCTTCTTTTAAAAAACCCAAAGAGCTAGAGCTTAGATATCTCGCATGAAACATCTTCTAGTGTGTGTCTACCAAATTTGTTCAAACAAAAGCCCTAGGGTCAAAATTAGCTCCGCCCTGGGGTGTTATTGATTTTCTTTATATGTTTATAGTAAAAACTTTTAAAAAAAATCTTAAAAAAGCAACAAATAGCTAGAGTTTAGATATTTAGCATGAAACATCTTTATGTGAGTGTCTACCAAGTTTGTTCAAATAAAAACCCCGGGGTCCCCGGGGTCATTGATTTTCTTTACATGTACACATCTTTTGAAACTGTTGTTTTCTCAGGTAATGTTTTTACACATGTACTATTTTAGATACAAATATGAACTTTGTGATATCAGTTCAAGATTTAGATTTTATATAGTTTACAATATTACTTGTTCCTTGTCGTGGAGAGCTTTTACATACAGGTGAGCGATTTCAGGGCCATCATGACCCTTTTTTTCTTTATTTTCTTTTTTTCCCCAATAGATGTTAACTAATTCTAACGTCGTGACGTTTGAATCTAGATAATTCTATATTTTTGGGGCGGCCTTTTCAACAAAATACACCGTTTACAATCTCGAGTGCCTGGCTACATCTTTTTCTAGTCTTCGCCCATAGAAACTATGCCTCGCTATCATTGAAAGCCCATATCGCCATAAACACAAGTCATGTCTATACTGTCTATTACTATTAGTTAGGACTATTTGCCTTATTTGTATTATTTCAACACTGAATGCGAATTGTAACAGATAGCATTGCTTCAGTCAATGCAAATCTAATGCACGGGATCAAATTTACACGGAGGCCATTTTGAAAATGGTGGTAATCTTGAATGTGTATTTGTAATATTATGTGTGATATTTTTGGGACCGCTTTACATTTGATGTATTCATGATCTTGAGACACTTTACCGAACTTTTTATTCTTGTTATTTTTTGCACTATTTTTTCTACTGGGATGGATAATCAGTCAAACAGATTTCTATGGTTTATATGATTGCCTACTCAAAACCGTCATCATCATCTACATGTTATCATGTCTCCTGGCCTTGTATCAAAGGTAATGGTCTTAAGCTACCAAAATACAGTAAGTTGTATTTTCCTGACAGAATGCAGTATTGCTTTCACTTAGGCCCATCAGTTCATACTACATGTAAAGAGATAACCTTAAATATTTATATATTTTATTGCATTATATTATTATTTTTGTCAACCGCATAAATTAGAAAACAAGTATACACATTTAGAGACATGATGATATCCGAATTAAGTTTGCATTAAAGTATCCGTAACAAGAATTTGTAACAAATTTACCAACGTTCTCCGCAAAATGGAAGTTTTACAGGAAGCACACGATTGTACTATTCCAAAGTTTCACTTTCATAGCAAAATCTTGATAAATGGTGGATTTGCACCGCAACAATTAATTCATTATAGACATAAAATGAAATATTTTCTTGTATGTGTCAACAGAAATACATTTTTGCAGGTTTTCTGCAGTTTTTTTTACTGAAAAGTATGTAATAAAGATGATCATTCGAAAATTATTTAAGGTGAAGTTATGATTCTGCACTTTCTCTCATAGTGTTATCTATTTCTATTTTAAGTTTCACTGGAATTCTCTGGACATAGAAAATACAGACCATGCTAAACTTTGACCTGTAAATGTGAACTTCACCTAAGTAGTAGGGACTTGGGTGTTGCGCATAACACCATGTCTTTTTATGGTATAAATTAGTGAAAACTTATTTCAAAACTCCTTGATGGATGAAAAGTAATGGACGAGCCGGACACGAAAAATAACCTCCAACAGACAATGTTGACATTTTATCTCCTAGTGTGATCTTGACCTTGGAGATTGGGATGCATGACACGTCGTTGTTTTATGGTCAACATTTGTGTCAATTTATTTAAAAAAAACCTTGCTAAATGACTGAGTTATTGACCGGACACGAAGTGTAATAGACGGTCAGACAAACAGACATACGGACGGATTTGGTTTATTTTTCGTCGAAATGTAGGTGGGCAATTAAAAGTTTTATATAAGATAGTATCATTAGTCCTAAAATTTGACAGCAATTAGAAAATCTAAATCATGATTGTT